TCAACCTTTTTTTTGTACAAATTTTTTTTTAAAAAAGAAAACATTACATCTCGATTGAAACCGATTGAATTATATCTTAAACCTACGTTAATATCTTAGTTTAAACATATCAGCAGAACTGAACGTCACTCTAAATAATATTCTTTTAAGTATTTTCTTTTGGCTAGAACAGTTAAATTTTTTTATTATTTATTATTAGGCAGTGCCAGTAGAATCAGACCAAACAGCATGAGTAGCCCACAGTTTGTTTTGGTTTCACTCCACAGGAAATATATCCTCCTGACTTTTCCTTGACCAAGCCTCCCATTCAGTGGAGTGAAGATGAGAAGAAAGCCTTCAAAGAATACGAAAAGAACGTTAGAGATCTCAATGAGGAGAAGGAGTTATATAAACGGGTAAATAAAAAAAGGGGTGATAAAAGGTTCCGTTTGTGTGGGGTTTTTTTTTTGTTATTTTATTGCCAAAATATTGCTGCGGATTGGTGTTAAGCATGTGTGAACCTTGGCTTTGCAGGGATTGGAATTTGAGATGAAAAAGCTGCAGGAAATCATCAAAGAGTCAACAGACAAGTTTGATGAGTCACTCACAAAGCTGTTTGAGAAGAAATTAAAGTTCACAGCTGCTATATATCAGGTAACGCACATTAAATCGCAAACGTGTGGCATTCATATGTATTTGGATCTCTAAATAAAGTCCAATGAAACCATTTACTTTTAAAAAATTCACCTTGTGCTGATTTGTTGTTTCGCATCGGTTTGGGTGTGTCTTACAGGAAGAGCTGAAGATCAGCTATCTTGCCGAATCAGTGCACACGATCGAGGCGATGAACCATCAAGAGCGTGAGCTCAAGCTCAAACTTGAACAACTGCTGGCACAAAAGGTTACAAATGTTGGGCACACTCTTTCTGCAGGCGTTTATTAATTATCGAAACTAGATTCAGGCTGTAGAAATTGGCGTGCATTCCAGTACAGCGCCTTACCATCTCAAAACACAATTTGACAAAGTGATGTGAAGCAACAGGTACATGTGTCGGGCTGACTGGCCAGAACTGCACATTTTTTTCTGACAGGTAAACACAGAGAAAGACTTGAGTGGATACAAGGACACGGTGGAACAGTTTGAGTTCGAGTATGAGAACATTGTAGCTGAAGACAAAGTAAGCGCACTGATAAAATACACACAAAAAAGAAAACATGGTTTGTGTAAGAGATAAATACAATTTTGTTTCATCACCCAAAGAATCTCGACAAAGAATTCAGGAAAGAGTTTGCTGATCTACCAAAGTTTCTGATTGATCAACTTTACAAACAGTTCAAGCGTAGACCCAGGTTTGTGAACCATTTCCATGCAGCAGTTGTTTAACGCCGGTTGTTTTTAAAGCTCGGACTGTCACGACTGTCACCAGGGTTCAAAGGTTACGGGGGCTGTCTATGGATGCTGCCAACATTTTCAAGCCGCAACGTCTCAACGTTCCCGCTCCTGATGGACTCAGCCAAATACTCGCCGCCATGGAGGAGATGGACGCTCCAGAGAACATGCCAAAAGGACTGACCCTGCCCTTCTGGGAGAGATTTTGTGTTGTGCGCAAAACAAAAGTAGAGAGCGAACAAAAGGTAATACAAAGAAAATGACATGTCCACCATCCATGTGCATTCATTTTATATTTACATATTTTATTCCCTGACAGTTTGTTAATTTCTTTGCGTTTTGTTTTACAGATAAAAGTGCACGCTTTGGAGCTGGCTGAGATGCAGGCCTTCCTGCAGAGACGGATAGATGAAGATAATGCTGCCCAAGAAGAAATTAAGCAGCACTTTGAAGATCTCCGAAGGTACGACCCAGAACTTCTGACTCGACAATCTGTTTCAATCAGACCAGTTAAGTTGGGAAAATAAATACTGAGTTTGGAAAATAAGTATTTACTTTAGAACTTGTATTTACGTCCAAGTAGGTGAATACTTGGAAAATTATTCACTAAATACTTTTCTAAATACTTAATGTGGATCTAAATATTTTGTGTTCAAACTAAACAAAATATTTAGCTTAAATGTAAATATTTTGTTTAGTTTATAACTAAATATTTAACTTCTTTCACAAATTTTTAACTTGATATCTAAATGTTTGTCAACTAGATATGACATATTTAGCCTGTGGATTAAATATATTCAGTTTGTAACTAACATTTAAAAATGTGTAAATAACATGGCAAAAGAAATGAAAAAATAAACACCCACTTTTTTTCTCTCTGACAGACTAAATAAACCAAAAGACTTTTACTGGCACCCCACAAGAAATGCTTGAAAACGCATGAAGACATTAAGTGAGAAAAATGTTGTTGATAATGCTATGGTGGTTTCTGATGTCATGTTTCTGCAGCCTGAGGAGCAGGAGGGACCAGTATCTCATGGACCCAATGATCCAGGTTGTCCTGCCACAGGGACAGGTGGAGACGTCCACCTTAGATCTGACAGCTGAAAAAGCTGAGACTGACTTCATCCTTCTCGACAGAAAGGTGGTGGACGAAGTCAAAGAGAAGATCATGGTCTGTCTTTCCCGTCAAATGTCTTTATAAAACATCAAAATGGGAATAAGAGAAATTTTACTAACGTTAAAATAGTAATAAAGCAATACAAGTTGTCTTTCAAATTCTTATTGCCTGTGTTATCAGAGAGTTGCAGAGCAGAAGATAACCTACATGGAGGCACACGGCGCGGTCCGTAAAGAAATAATCCAGCTGGAGTGGGAGCACCGTGTGTTGGACAAGAAGATAGAGGACCTACATGAAAAGAAGAAAGAGATCAAGATGCTTCGACTCTCAAAGGAAGATTTGGAAGTAATCTAGTTTATAATCATAATTCTGTTTTTGAAGTCCTGGGAAACTGTGATTTGCTCTTTCACGACGTCTGGAATGTTTTTTTCTGCCGCGTTAATTATATGGCTCAGACGATTCAGCATCAGGTTTAAATAATAACATGAAGAAGAAAAAAAAAGAGGGGAAAAAAAAATCTACATATGGGGCGAAACATTTATCCAGTGTGCATGCCTGGCCAAATTTCTCCCTGTGTTATCCAGGCAGGTATTTTGGTTTTGGCATGGAAAGATGTTTTGCAAGCAGAAAATTGTTACCATCTCCCAGCACAGATGGATTATCTTTTATAGAAAACTCACACCCTCTTCTTTCAACCTCCCCACCCTCTTTGCCTTTTCAGCATTTAAACATCTTATCGAAGATGTCGTGTGTGGATAGAGGTTTTTACATCTCCTCCTCTTCCAAATTTATTTTTATTTCGTTCAGTCCTAAAATTCTTCACGTCCTTCTTTTCCCCCCCAAGAGTTTAAGCCAAAAACTGCAGCTTAATTAAATCCATGCCAAATAACTAACAGGATAATTGTTTACTCTAGAATAGATGTTTACCCTTGTTTTACTAAAACAATAGATTTCACTAGTAATTTTAAACCTACATTAGATTTTGGAAAAGAAAGCAGAGCAACTAAATTATCTGTTACAGTTTAACAAAGCATTGCATGTGAATTCCCTCACTTTAATGCCAGTTTCCTTTGGCAGAAGGCTTATGTTGCTCTGCCGCTGGTAGCTTCCTGACATTGTTAAAGCTCATAAACCATGCAGGAAGAAAGCTGTGAATATAAATAATCCATTCTTGTCATTAAAAATATTTTATGATTAAAGATTTGGGGACATTAGCTTGGAAATTTTTGCTCTAAACTTAGAAAAAACACCATTTGTAATTCATTTGTACAAATTAACCGTCTCCTTTTTTTTTTTGTTTGTTTTCAGTATCTCAGCATGAAGGATCCGAAGGCTCACGAGTTGGATAAAATTTCTAAGTTGGAGAAAAGTATTGCTTTCATGAAACGGGTAACAACCTGAACATGTCTTAGCACAACGTTTGAAGTTTGAACCGCAAAAGCCAGCAACATCTTATGAGTAATGCACGCTGCTCTCTATTTCAGACCCATAAAAGGGCCATTCATCGGCGAATGAAAAAGGTAAAACAGATCAACAAAAAGATATCAATGGTAGGAGAGAGCAGTTCTGGTATACAGAAGGATCTTCCTGAGATGCAGGCTTCTGTGGCAGAGCTGAGACACATTTATGAAGCCTCAGGTAAATGAAAACAGATCTACAGACACACCTCAATAATCTAGAATGTCCTTGAAATGTGTGCAGAGTGCAGCATGGAGGCGCTGCTGAATCCCCCTCAATTGCTAAAATGAACTTTGCTTCACAAACTTATTCAACTTTCCATTCAACTTCAGTTAACCAGTCAAGTTAACACAACATTGATAAAAGCGAGTGTTTTTAGCTATGATCTTTAGGCTTGCCTCACTAGTGTTGAGTTAATACCTGCTGGACATTTGTCAGGTCAGCAGTCTTACTCATGACAGTGTAGTTGCTAACATGGCCATGTTATAACAAATCTGTCTGTAAAGTATCATTTTATTGAACTTATGTGACACATTGGAATTTGGGTTTTCTGCATGTATAAAACATAATAAAGTCAACATAAATTGTTGAAATGTATCAGTCTGTATGAAGGCAATTGATACATTTTTTTTTGTAAATTTTAGTTTTTTAACAGATCAATACATGTTTTGATGATATTCTGACTTAACTGAGTTGGCCATTAACTAAGTACTCTGCAAAAGGGACTTTCCTCCTGTTTCAGCTTTTAATGAGGTTCTTTTGCCGTTTCAGCTACCGAGGCAAATGAGGCAGCGGAAAGAGAAGAGCGCTACCTGGAGATTGTTCAAAGGCGCAACCTGAGGGACCTCGCCAGGGCTAAGTCGGACGAACTGGACCTCCTCCGGAAAGAAGTTGAGCGTCTGGAAAGGAGGAATTTTCCCTCACTCGATCAGCTGAAATACAGCTAATGCCCAACAAGTTTATTTATTTATACATTGATTTGCTAACAACTAATGAACAACAAGTTTATTTATTTATACATTGATTTGCTAACAGAATATTTAGTGTTTTTTTTTTTTTTTTTTTTTTGCTGTGAACAAGAACAAGCTCAAAGAATAAATAAGATGAATTGTGTTAACTCTTTTCTGTGGTCCTTGATGGACTTAAGATACTTCTGGCATTATGTAGTGAAGTTTCCCTCTGGACGGTCAAAGCACAGAATGCTATCATCCAGACCAAAGAGGTCAATGAGCTCGGACAGGTCGGCCTTCCTTCCGTCTATGGGGAACTCTGACTGCAGCTCATACAGAGCAGCCTGAGCACAACTGCGCCACTTGTCAATCAACGTTTGGAGCTGCGTCAAATCATTCTGAGGAGGAAGACACACACACATATTACCTTTTTCAGTCCAAGTGATAAACCTGGTTGAAGATATTTGGTGACTTTACTGATACCTTGCTTCTGTACATTTTCACCATCTTGAGTCGACGCAGTGTCTCTGTTTTCTCCTTTACTTCCTTCCTCAGCTGTAGAGCTAAATCTCCTGAGGACATGAGTGATGGCTGGGGAGGAAGTGAGGGCAACCTCTCCCTGCCCAGCTTCACCTCAGTCCCGTTTGCATCCACAGTGTGGACAGCGATAGTCTCCTGGGAGTCTGCTGGAGCATGCGGGCCATCTTCCTCCTCACCGTCAACACAAAGGCGCTTGGCCACAGAAATGGGGGAGATGAAGGAGCGCCGCGTTCTCTTCAGCCTTTCCCTTAGGGAGGCACTCAGCCCGGAATGAAGCTGGGGAGTGGCAGTGGGAATCACACCAAACAACACAGGTAAATGATAATTAATATGGGAGCATGTGTTTTGTACAAAACGTCAAAGAATTTCCTCAGACATGGAGATAAAATGGATGAATAGATGGACAAACAGATGAGTGATAGATAGATAGATAGATAGATAGATAGATAGATAGATAGATAGATAGATAGATAGATAGATAGATAGATAGATAGATAGATAGATAGATAGATAGATAGATAGATAGATAGATCTGAAACAGACATGGAAAACAAATACTTTCCACACTATTATTATATTCCATATTTATCCACACACCTACAATTCATTCTTTACTTTTTCAAACTTCAAGAGACTGAAAACTTGTTTGCTTGATCCCAAGTTGTGTTAAGGGTGAAGTGATGCATTTAATAAAAGTCAACAACACTCACCTTCTCTTCTTTAAACTCAGAGGGGCTTGACTCCACTGAACAAGGTGATGAAGACCCACATGACAGTTTGGCTGCTTTCGGTGTGATCTCCATTAGTCAAAATCACTTTGACTCATGTGAACTCTTTCACCAATGCAGTGCAAGTCAGCTGCGTTTGCAACATTAAGTTTGCGAGTTGGAGCTTTTATATACAAAGTCTTTTAAAAAAACACAAAAATACAGCACTTTCTTTTGAACACCCACCGAAGACTCGACTCTGTCTTTCCGTATTTTTGCGGCGCACTGCCTTCAACGGCAGTGATTGGACAGAATTTGATTACGGTCAGCCGAACGGCATCCTGGGAGTTGTGGTTTATTTTTATCTATCTTAGAAGTGCCTGAAAATGACACGTGTTCGCGGGTTTTGTGAGACGTTTGTTGTGTTTACATGTCCTCTTCGCTGTTTCTTACTTGTACTGCGTTAAGTCACTACTGCCTTGGTGTTATTTGTTACCGCCCAGAAGGCAAATTTACCTACATGACGTAAAAAAGGCTTTTTGGCCTCTAAGCTCTTGTTTTAGCTTCAGATCACATTTAGACCAAAACCACTCAAAAATTACTATTAGATCTTGTCTTGTTCTGCTTTACAAACTTTTATTTATTCTGCACTGCACTGTCACCACTAACTTTTTCAGTCAGGTGCAGTACCATAATATTTAGGGCCCTCCAATGTTTTTAAAATTATGATGTGTTATGATTTTAACACAACATGGAGCACCAAATAGAGACATTCAAGTCATACTTGAAACAGTAATTTGAAGAATAAACATGAACCAATAAATGACAAAAGGTCAGACAAAGTACACAGAAAAACAGCAATTATTTTTATAAGTGGGTTGTTAAAATGTAGATAACTAAAAATGTAACCAAAGAAACAGAGGTTACAGAAGATAAATAAAATGTAAATAAACAGACAGCAAATAAAACGGGGTAGGCTTAATGTATTCTGTGCTACTATAATTATTGTAATATCACAATTTTTTTCATGGCTCCTTTGCTGCTCTTTTTTATTTTGACTCATTACGAAAAACATACCTGGAAAGTTGTCTGTAAATACTAACAAAAGACATAAACCTTGTGTTTGATCCTTTAAAAAAGCATCTGTTTTGAATGTTTATTTTGACTATATTTCTTTCTATAAACTAAACTTATGTTTAGGTACAAAATAAATTGGTGCTATCAATGTAATTAGTCTAAAAGTTCAAAAGTTGTTAAAATTGACATTTTCTTCTGATGTAAATAAAGACCTAAGTTAAGATACGTGGGAGTTGAGTAATAAAAAAAGAGTATTGGTACAAAAAAAAAAAGTACAAGTGGTTTCTCCATTACAACTTCGTTAAGGGCAGTAAAGTTACAGAATGCCCCAGTGACTCACGGTTTTGTTTAAATATGAGGTCAGTGTTAAACAGAGCCGTTCTTGAGGGATAAACAGATGAACTCTGATGGTTACGCTGAGCTCTGAGTAAAAGTGATTTATCTGGGCTTTCGTTCGTGTCTGGTCCATGTTCATCTTGGGTCTGAGTCACTTTGTTCTCGTTTGCTATTTCACGTCCTTTAACAGACCTATTTATAAACTCCTAAATGTAATTCAGAAGTCTTTTCACACTTGCACATGAGACTCTGTCTGTCGCCACGTGGAGCGTAATAATGCCTGGACTTGATTCTCAGTACATGGAAACGCGATATTACACACCCTGAGGAAATGGGACTTTTTTTTCTTCTTACATTTTATATGGATGAATCTTGCAGGGCTGAAGGTTGGAAACAATTACTATGCATTAGTCAAGGCTCTAGAGAGTGCTCTCTCTTTTTTTTTTTTTTTGTGTCATTCACAGTAGAGATAAAATACTTTGATTGCTCCCCAGTAAGATACATGAATCAACTGGTATGAGTGTATAGAATCTAGAGGCTATGTGAAACACCCAGTGAGCCAAATCTTTCAACAAACACACAGATGGCTACTTATTAAGAACATATGCTTGCACAAGCTATTAACTCTTGTTAATGTTTATGTAGCTTAGTGTTACAAAACTGCCTTTAAGTTAAACATAATGTTGGAGAATAAAAGATCCAGTTCTTGTGGCTCTTTTTTTTTTAGTCCCACTCAGTTTTTGTTTTGCTGAAAATCTGTTTTGTGTTTTGGGTTACTTTGATTTCCAGTCAATGTGCTGCATTGTCTTCTTAAGATCTCCCTGTAACTTGACGTGACTCGTCTGTTAACACTTTCTCACACAGATACAGCAAAATTACCTGACAGCGGCAGCTATTTTCACCTTGAGAGACAGTCCGATGCCAAGAACCGGAAACATTTTAGCCCATATGAGGTTTGTTGTAACTGATATTTATTCTCCCGGCAGACCTGTTGACATGCCACTGATAAAAAAAAACGACCGGTGTCATTAATGAAATAAATAAAGTTCCTGTCAGCAGGGAGCTCCTCCACAAATAGCTGTTTACTTCATGTTTCCTTTCCTTGTCTTGATAGACGAGAGAGGCCTGCTGTTGAAACGTGCTTTAAATTTGTCCAATGCTTGTTTTGAAACAGTTGTTTTACATTAATCTTTATAACTGTTGTGGTATCTGAATAAATACAGACCCTCCTTTTTGATAAAAAATAAATACAGTTTAGTCTGGTTTAATGAGTATTGAACGTGAATACTCTGATCAATAAATTCAAATTTGTACTCCTTTTATGTATTTTAAATCTACTAAGAAAACATGGGTACTCTTTTTCTTTTGCTTAATCTCTTTACATCTTTGAACTATAAGAAGCTATCAAAAGTAAATTATTATTGTTGTTTGACATTTAATAAATCTATTGGTTGTTCAGACCAAATTTGGTGTAAGAGCAGCAGCTTGGAGATCTAACAGACCGGCATCCTATAGAAGATTTTAAAAGTGTGCTATGGTTTCCAGAAACATATGGAACAGGAAATATTAATTCAAAACGATCTTTGTTTCTACAGTGGCATCTCTATGAGCAGATAATTTGTGTCGGGACATAAAAAGTAAAAGACCCATAAATTAAGCTGTTTTTTTTTTTTGTGATGCATTTTATGGTCACAAACATGTGACCATAAAATGAGACGGTGACAGATGCTATGGTCTTTGTTTTTACTCTGCCTCTGTTCAAGCTGTAGCAAGAACTGTTACATCCTCTACTGTTGGGTTTGTGTTTGTAGTTGAAAAGGTGATAGGTCCCAAAGGCATAAAACAATTAATATTCTATATTCAACAACAGTCCATCCGCATATATGGTTTCAAGAGACATGCTCACTTGTTCTCAAAAAGTACTTTTAAAATCACTAATCTCCTTAAAAACTGCGAAGTAATATCCATACGTTGCATCGCTCTAGGATATAATGATCACCCCTTTAAAGGTGTCAAGTTATATTAGATTCAAACATCAAAGACAGTCCTCTGAACTGAGCAACAGCATATTTAAGTTTTTCTTCTCAGATAAAGCGACGGTTTTGTATCAAGACAGATAAGCAACAGATAAGCTCCTCTCTCCAGAATGTGCCTGCATGTTCACTGAGCCAAGGGTCCAGTGCCGCACTGGAATGTTTTTTTTATTTTTTTATCACAGTTGAGTGGTTTAAAAGTTCAGCTCAGAACAGACCCAATTATTATCTCTTTAGATATCCAAAACCCTCCAAGATTATTGTGGCCATAAAAGTATCTCTTTTTTGTTTTGTTTTGTTTCTTTGTCAACTACATAAGACAGGCTTTAAATAATGTGAGCAACAGTTTCTTTATAACCTGGAAAATGAATGACAGTACTAACATTCCTATCAAAATCAGTATGAATACCAAGTCCACGTAATACAGAAGCTTTTTTTTCCCCCTCTACCATTTGTGTAACAGTTAATAATGTCACATTATAGTGTATTTTTCCATGTGTAGGTCTTTTGTTGAACCTCTGGAAAATGCTGCCGTCCCGCTCTGCAAAAATACCAAAGCAGTATCCTGCAGGAGAGTATCTGAAAAGAGGCATCAGTGTTTAGTCAGCCCTGCTTTTTTTTCCCCCCTTTCATTTTCCCACCATCCCGGAATTTGTTGCTTTCTGCTCAGGATCTGGAATTGTCCAAGATCACACATGGATGTGAGCGGGGCAGCTCCTCTCCGTGGGGCCATTTGTTTTCAATCATTTGAGGAGATTAGAGTCTTACTGGCTGTGAGTCATGCCTAGTGGGTGGATTTCTTCGCTGGGTGTGGTGGTTGAAGGGAACCTGTGGAAGTCTGTGGCTGCCACTGGAGGAATACAGCATCTAATTTGGTGCCAAACGGCATACATGTGAATTAGCAGATTGGGAATGCGTGTTCTGATTACAGAGTGGAAAACAGGCCTTGTGTCCTCTCATTTCGAAATGTGCGTGACGTGAGAAACTTCCGAAGAGTATCATAATTGTGACATGAAAAGTATCAGGCCTCCCCGACAGGAGAGCAAACAGGAAGATGGTCCCTGCGAAAACTGCAAAAATGAAGAGCTTTCACTTGACGTGACAATAGCTCGTAAGAGAATTAACGTCCTCTGAACTTACCCGCATTTTACTGCGTTACAACCACAGACTTCCATGTGGTTTATTGTAACTTTATGTGACAGAGCAACACAAAGTAGAAAATAATTGTAAAGAGGAAGGAAACTGAATTTTCAGCAAAAAGAAAAAAGAAAAAATCTGAAAAGTATGGCAGGCATTTGTACTCTGCCTCTTTTACTCAGACACCATAAAGAAAAAACAAGTGCAGACACTTTTCTCCAAAAATCAGTTGATGAACAAATTTAATTTTGAAAAACTGTCTGAAAAGTGATGGTTTTTTTAAAAAGATTATTGCCCGACTATTGTTTTTTAGTCTCAGCCGTTATGGAAAGAGAAATGAACTGGGAAATAAAAAAAAATAAAAAAACAAACACCTGAAACGCCGAGTTTCAGCTACTCAATCAAGTTTCTCACAAAAATCCTGTCAAAAAAAGGGGGAGTGTGAGCTGGTGAGGAATTATTCGGTTCCCTTTTTAACTAAAAATAAAATGGGTGAAAGCAGAAGGACACAATATTCTTAAAAAACACACACACACACACAGAAAATTGCTATGGAGAACAACATGTTTTGTTGCATTTCTTTGACATTTGTCGACAGATTTATTAGTAAATCTACCACAAAAAGTAAGACAATTCGTCTATGTCTGCTGTTCTTGTGTTGTATTTGTACTTGCATTTGGAGAACTTATTTCCTTTTAAAAAAATTGTCAGGAAAATGCATTTGCGGGTTGAGCTCTGAGGGTTGTACCCATGAAAACCTTGCCAAGTCCTTTCTGCCAGAACCAAACAACGTTTTTCTGCTCCTGAGTGCAGACTGAATTACGAGATCCTCTCAACATGTACAACTGGTGTGTGGAGGCGTCAGAGGTCTTACTCGAAAACATTGGTGAACAAACAGCATCAAAAAGAACAACAAAGTAGAAGTGCCAGAGATGACATAAAGCAAAGCAGTTTAAAGCACGACAACGGCAGCATCATGCTGATCAGACGTGTTGTGCTGATAAAATGCCAATTCAAAAATTATACAGGCTGCAAAAGATGGAGGTTCTTCTAGGAGAACCACAACAGATGTTCATCCAGGGACGGATTGGATTAAAACGTTTTGTTGTGTTGAAATGGCCCAGTCAAAGTTAAGACCTAAGTGAGATAAAAAAAAAGACAAATGATGCTCACTGACATTCTCCATTCAGTCTAACTGAGCTATTTTAAGTTTCTAGATCTGCACACAATTTTTTTTCGTGAAAAGTAGATGCAAAACGTCACATGAAGGACTTTTAAAACCAGGTGTCGTGTCCAATCATAAATGCAAAGTCCAGTGAAAACACAAAGGAAGTTTGATTGGCTGATTTCACATCTGAGTGCTGATCTCTACCCTCCAAGTCAGAGTGAAAAACTCACCTCTACCTGCTGCCTGAATCCATATGGAGCAAAAGTTGAGTTTCTTATTTCAGTATGGGGGCCAGATGTGTTGCAGCTGCAGAGGGATGGATTTACTGCCCACTGCAGATCCGCACAACCTGGGACAGCCCCCTCCCTTTCTGTTCAGAAAAACACAGAAAGAGAGAAAAAAAAAACATCACAACTCCCAAATCTAACTTTTTTTCCCTTCCCTTCCCTCTCTCTCTCTTTTTTTTTTTTTACCACCTCCGCCCAAAACGTTGCCCGTTTCCAAACTGGTGACCACAGCAGTGAAGCAGTAGCGAGAAGAGGAGGAGTTTATCTGCCCCCCCCCCTCCCCCCCCCCAGTCTACAATCTGTGTCTGCAGGGGCTGAGAATATGACAACTTAATTCCTTCCCTGTTCCCCCCCCTGAGGCTCTATTATTTTTCTTTCTTTTGTCTTTTCATATACTCAGCTTCTCGTGCCGCCTGCCACACCTGCCTGCCAAGCTGCAGCTCAGATGGGCGCGGCTGGGACCGGAGCCCAAATCTGTGTTTTGACTCGCCTGGGAAAGTTGAGCGAAAAGGCACAAAAGAAACGCAGGGAGTTTGGGGGAACATCCCCGCACGCTCTGCGCGTCAGCTCCACACTGACGCATTGTTCTTCCGCAGGATAAGTGTCTGCGTCCTGAGAGGAACCCGACCGCTGCAAGGAGAGCGCCTGAAGGTACGGAGACTATCACTGAAGCTGGAAGTTTCTCTCTCTTTTTTTTATGACTTTTTGCTTTTCTTCATTGTCTGAAGCCTTTTTAAGTTGGATGTATATCTTTTTTTTTTCTTGCACCTGGCCTTGCGCGCATCTCTGGGTTAACGGATGCGCTCTTCGGGGTTTTTGGTGACGGGCTTGTCGTTAGTTTTACAGACTGGTATAACTTTTTGTTTCCCCTTTGGCTTCCTCCCGAGAAGCACTTCTCGGCTTGTTTGTTAAATCCACCAGGGGGGGATTTTTGGGGATCGTTTTTCTGTTACAGAACACCCCCCTCTTTTTTGCTGTGCTATTCGCATCCTTCTAAATATATTCCAGAAGACCTGTCCAAGCTGTGGCTTTAGACATCAACCCTTAATAATTGCTGCCCGGATCAGTTGCATGCTATAAAAAGGGGGATGAGTTTATAGAAACTTTAATAGGATGCTTATTAGGATTTAATTTATTGTAGGTGTGTGTGTGTTAGTTTGTTTTTTTTTTTGGTCTTTACTTTCAGAACGGATGAGAAAATGCATGTTTTCAGACGTTTATGACAGTGACTGCGACCCTGGTGTGGGTTCAGCAGCACATGCCCCAAGCAGGAACATACCAATGCAGTTAAATGTCCTTATCTGCCAGGGTGTGGTCAGAGGATGGTCTTTTGAGAGCTGTGCTCTGATCCACCTCAGCGCCTTTTGTTTCTCTGTTGGTTCAGTTTCCAGAGACACAAAAGTACTCCGCATGTGATCCACCGCGGGGTCTGATGTGGTTCTCAGCGTTCAGATGAGAGGTGAGCATGGCAGGAAAAGTTGTCTTCACAGAGGGGAGGGAGTGTCCCTGAGCCTTTCTGGGTTAATACCACTGGAGGCCAATGTCCAAATAAAAGGAGCCGCAGAGGCATTCGAATGCGGTCTTTAAAAAATGGTCATGCGACTGATGTGGGGGGAACATTTTCCCAGTTTTGGGCTGGATGAAATTTCAATTGATTGCTGTTTTGCAATCAGCTTTGAGTTCTTACAGCCCCTTTCATTGGAGCACAGCACTTCTTCTTGTTCCTCATCAAACAGTTGCTGAAATCTTATTTTCCACATTCAGACTAACAGAATATGCATGACGGTGGCCAATGGTTTTTTTCTCTCTCTCTCGCTTTCTCTCTCTTCTTCTGCTTCTTCTGTCACCGTCTCACTAGATAGGATGGGATGGACGAGTTAACAAGGCAGATGGAGATCTCGGGAGAAAAGGGTGAGAATGCTTGATTTGATCACACATTGTTTAAGAGTAAAACAATTTACTTTTTAGGGTGTAGTGAAAATTTGTTTGGCAAACTTTAAAATTAGTGGGAACTTTATAAAATAAGCATTCAAAACGCGTATGAAAGTCTTTCACCTCTTTTTGAAGTCGCGCTAACACCATGCATGCCCTTACTGGTTTCCATCGTTGGAGGGGGTCATCATTTTCTGGATCTCTTTTTTTGTTGTTTTTTTTTTTAAATTTCCCCACAACCTGCAGCTAAATGTTAAAGCCTTCAGCATTTCAGGTCCAGCAAACAAGAGTAAATGTCAGACGGTAGCTGTGTTGCAGTGTGCAATCAGCTTCTCCGTCTGTTTACTTTACTGTATGTGTCTCCTGTGAGAGAAAACCCAAGAGTTAAAGTTACAGTCGGTGTTCTTCTAACTTCGGTCTGACATTTTGTTGGATGATTTGAAACAAATCAGTACCTTTTCTCCAAACATTGACCTTTTCTCAGATCAACTTCCCCTTTTTGTGTTTTGTACAAAAATCAGAAAAAACCTCTTGCAATGTTGACATACATGGAAGAGTAAATTTGATTAAGAACTGAGTTGACTATTAAGAAGAGGCACACTGTAAGAATAGAAAATATTAGGAATATCTAGAAAAAAATTCAACAAGTGGATAGCATCTGTATATTTCAGTCAGAAATACAGCATGAAAATAAAACACAGCCGGAAAAGGGGATTCCAACCAGCCGAAGTCATAAAAACAAACACCTGAGATGCACGTGTGCTTTAAAACCTCCTGAATCCACTCAGACTTGTTGTCTGGGACCAAAGCTTATTCACAATCTTTACTGAATCGATTATTTGGAAGCCAACAAGTCTTAACGTCCTCACAAAACTCTAAGCGAAGGACGGGCAAAAATGTGGTCTGGCTCATCGTCATGAAAAATCTGTTTTTGGACTGTTATTGTGCAGAAACTGCAGTGAGATTTTGTTTCCACAGTCAAACGTTAAGAGCAGCAGAGTAATGACTGGGTTTAGCCTCGACTCTGAAACAGACGGAGATCCCTAAAAGGAAGGAGAGCAGGAGGAGGACAGGACAAAGAGGGGGCATGAAATCTAAGTGGAATGAGCATTATCTTTAAGGGACAGCCAGCAAAGTGCAGAGACGAATTTGGTCAATAATGATTTCTTTTACAGCCCATAGTGGACAAAAGCTTTAATTTCCTGCCTTGAGGTCGTTCTAAAACCAGATCCTAATTGCAGCTCGCTGAAAGCATGCGCACGGATTAGGAAGGAGTTGTTTGTGCATATTGCTTCTGAGAGTCATTCTGCAGGATGAATTCTGTTTAATGTAGTCGCCTCTGCCTAACAGGCCCCAGCTGTCATAGCAAGTTACTGTGGAAAGGAACAACCAAACAGCGGCGCATACACTTTGACCTTAACCGACCTTTCAGATCTTCACAGAACAGCAGCCAGCTGAAAAGACAGATTCTGACATGCAGAGACAGTCCTCAGACAGATTATTAATAAGAAAAAAAAAATGTTTGATTTGAGGTGAGCTCACTTTGACTTTTCTTATATTCAACATCTCAGTCTCCTTTTTGTTCCAATGAAAATGTAGATTTAATTAATCGCAGCCAAAGATCTGAGGATCCGACACATTTGGAACGGAAAATAATCCACCAGCAAAGGCGGAGCAAAATTTTATTAGGCCCATGGTGCAACTAAAGTAGATGTTTTTCAATCATCCACATTTTATTGCTTGCATCTAACATTCCTAGTTACAAGATTGACAAGTTAGAGACAGAAATTGACCATATGACAAAAATGTTTTTCTTGACCATCAAAAATGATTTTCTCTACATATTAGGTAACTAATATAACTAATAGGTAGAGGTGAAGTTACATCAACATGACTAATCTTTCTCTAAAATTCCAAATAGGGATTTGTGGTTTTTCTTTTCCATACCAGATATATTTAAATCTTAAACACATTTCCCCATTTGCCCTCAAAACTGATTTTAAAGGCTCAGTCTTGATAAATGACTTAGAAATAAGAAGTTTTATGGTTTGTTGTTGCTCACAGGCCGGCCCCCTGCTGGCCTGTGATCCCAAAGCACTTGATGTAGTTCATTGGGATCAAAGTTTGCGTCGGACGATAATCCAACTTCAAGAATAAGTGAATCGATGAGGCCAAAAGTTGACTAATAAACAAAGCAACTCAAAGTGTCTGTGTTGAACTAGAATAAACTCGAAGCAGTCAACGCGGCCATTGTTCTCTTTCGTCTGTTAAACATTGCCGGTTGGATTTATTGTTTCGAGGCGCCTCGTTTGATCGCGTTATTGAGAAAATATGCTGCTACCGCTTGAACCGAAACCCGGCACAGACAGAGCACTAACACGGCAGTTGTTAAAATAAGACAAACACAGAAGTGGACCAAACACACAGTGGTAACTGTTTGTCTTTTCATCAGTTCTGACAGAAACAGTGACCTCCACCACCCGACTGACTTCTCTCCCACCAAGTGAGTCTGCTTTCGCCTTTTTTTTTTTTGACGTTGTTAGTTTAAGCAAAAGTGTAATAAAATCACGAGGCAGCTATTTCTGAAGGAAGTAGCCGATGAGTAACAGCTTCTTGTTGTTTTGCTGTTTGTCTTGTTGCCAGAGGGAACCAGCGGATCAAATCACAGGAATATGTCCAGCGGTGCCGGAGGGCTGGGTTTTGAGAAGAATGTCTTAACGCAGAACAGCAGTGGGACCTACTTCTCTTCATGTGAGAGCAACTTTCCACTCGTCTTTCCACTAAGTTGTGGGGAGCTGTGGGTTGGTCTCCAAGCAAAGTTTAGGGATGTTGTAGTTTTAAGCCCCGGCAGAGCAGAAGATTTCTGGGCTCGTGCGAGAGAGAAACTTTAAAGAGCTTCCAGGCGAAAGTGGAGGAGGCAATCTAAAGTCGATGCAGTGGCCGCTCAAACAAACGGAGGGCAGAGTTATACTGCAATCGAGCCAATTCAGTTGTTAATAAGCCAAATGCCACATATGAACTATTACCAAAAGGGAATAATTTTTCAACTTTAGGATAATGCATGTTATCATGCAGACACAATTACCAATCAATTCACTCCCAGAAAAAAATCAATCAATCAATTAAATTGCTAAGTCCTGTACACAGTTATCTTTCATTTGGATGTTGTATAGAATATGGACGTCTGATGGCTTAAAAAGTTATTTCAAAGTTTTACTAATACTAGCAAAATGCAATTTTTTGTTTTGTCTGGAATTGAAGCAGAACAAAATGAAGTTAAAAACAAGCCTTCTTTAGAGCGTAGGCTTGTTGCATGAAATTATATTTAGCTAAATCTGAGATTGAGACGAGTAAATGAGAGGAGGGATTTAATGTGTCAAACCTTTGATTTGTCAGCTCCCACAACAGCACAGCTAGCAGGGTGTCAAGTGTGTCTGAAATTGGGCTCAGCTCTTTTGCTGAAGAGTAAGGAATACAATTTTTTTTACCATGATATATTTGTGTTTTTTTTTTATGGATTCACAAATCACTGGGCATCAAGGGATGAAATTTTAATACTCTATCAGCACCCCTTCGTGGTCAATTAACTATTAGTCACTTTCTTAAGAAAAAAGGTCAAGTTTTTCAATTTCAAGCATCCGGGATGCTGAGGTGGGTGCATTTTTATTAGCGCAGACAGCTTAGTGCGGTTTATTGCAAGTGATATTTGAAAGGCAGTTGTATCAGTTCTGTTGCAGTTGCATGTGCATGCGGTTTGCTTGGCGTATGAGGGCTGTGGTGCTCATGCGGCACAAATTTTTCAGTATGTCCAAAATATCTGTAGTCGTCTGACCTATCTGGTGAGCAAATTGTACATGCTAAAGAGTTAAATGATCAGTAAGGCAATTCTCAAGCCTTTACTCTTGCAGTGATAATTGATGTTGAACACAAGAAAAATCAAGGAAGAAAAAACACAAATCCTGCACAGGCATCCTTTGAATATAGCACTTTGAGATCATTATGACATCCATATTTTTAGTTTTTATGACTAGTGTTTGGAGGAAAGCCATTTTCAGATATTATGTGCTCTACTTAGAGCATCTTAAGTGGTTGTTCAAATTCGAGTTCATTTAAAAAGTGTTTATTTATTGTCTCTCCAGCCTCTATAGGTGTGACGAGTAACTACAGCTCCTCCTCAGGAATCTACCTGGGAGGAGATTCCTCTGGAGGAGGTGAAGGTGGCGGAAGCTACATAGATGGAGAGGGCTATGGGAGCGGAGGAGGAGGCAGAGGAGGAGGAGGAGGAAGCAGTGGAAGCACTTATCTCGTGAGCTCCGTGTCAAAGGTTCGGTCCAGCTCGTCGGGCGGCGCCAGGAGAGCTCAGACTGGGGGGTCGTCAGTGGGGCTGTCGCCAGGTTTCAGAGAGAGGAAGACCATAGCCAGCCGCTCGGGAGGCTACGACGGTAGGATCCTGAGAGGCGGCCACATGTGGAAACGAAAACCTGAAGGCATGACTCACTGGGATCTCTAACTCTTCATGTTTTTTTTTTTCATTTAGGGAGTTCCAGTGGTAATTCCTCCCCAGAATTTCCACGCAAAGACTATGGGAACTACTGTAAGACTGAAACAAGTATAGTATCCAATAATTTGTGATTTCACAAATGTGTTTTTGATGTTTCCTTCCATTTTCCTTCTTAGGCTCCGGTGCCACTAGAGGGAGGAGTGAAAGCAGAGGTATTCAGGTTTATTCCACATTTATGCTCCATCTCGCTAAATTGTCTTGGCCTGCTTTTTTATTTTATTTTTATTAAATCAAGACTCCTTAGTCTAACGTGTGCTTTGATTTCTTCCTTTATTTTTCCCAGAGAGCGAGATCAGAGCCAGACTGCAAAGTGCCTCCCCATCTGCCGGAAGATGTAAGACCATTGGAGACACTGATCCTCTGGCAGTTGTTACGCAACTCCTCATAAAGCACCAAAAAAAAAAAAAGAAGTTTTCTGAGAGTCCTTTCAAAGAAGTGCATTGCTGTGAAACGATTTCTCATGCGGGATTTTTGTTTTTGAGTTATGTCGCTGTCAGATGTTTTGGCTTGAAGACTGCATATCGCAAAGTCAAATTCCAGCTCTCACATGCCACCACATTTTTTCTATTAGTTGCACATGTATAGTTAGTTGTATGAACAGCAACAGTAAGGGTGGGGCTGGAACAGGGTCAGTATGACTTGCTCTGCAGTAAGACAATGTGGGGAAAAAGAAAAAGGGCCAGATCATGGTGGCAGGAATGGTACAAATGAGTCACTCCTGCTCTTGAAGCAAAAATACTGAGAAGGAAAAGCGCTGCATGTTGCGCCCCCTGCTGAATAAAGTCGGTTACTACTGTTATTCAATCAGTCATATAACAATTTTTCAGTGCCACCTTTGGACTCTTAAAATGGGTCTCTGACTTTTCTCTGCTATTCCTTAAATTACACAGCATAGCAAAAAATCACTGTAAAAATTAAATGTAGAATGTAAAAAAAAAAAAAAAAAAAGATTTCTCTCAAGAACTTCTAGTGTTTGCATTCTTTTCCACTGTGGGGTTCTTCAACATATCAACTACAAATAGTTTCACTGAATATACAAAACAATTGAAATGCTTTACATCACAACCCTTACTATAGCTTATTATAAATGCATCATTTTGCCTCCTTAACATATATACCTATAAAAAAATAATTGTTTTGAAAAACAACTTCTGTTTGATAACCCAATGAGACGTAGACTCAAAAGAAGGGATATAGCTGACTAGATTATTGAAAACCGATAAAATACTATTATACTTAATAATGATTGCTAACACTTATTTGTTCATTTTGTTGTGTGGTTACACTTTTGCATAAATTTCAACCTGCTTTTTCACAGCTTGGTTGAACAAGCTCCTACCTATCTCCACACTGTTATCCATGACAAAGTGATTTCTTTAGGCCAGCTGGGAAATGGAACAAAATCCATGAAAAAGTGATGTTTAGAGAGAGAGAAGAAAATCACATGAAATCTAAATTTCTGCCAAAACCAACTGGCTTAGCATCATTGCTAAAGCTTTTGACTCATTTTGAGTTTTTCTTGTTGCATTACAAGAAGCGCGTGTCTCAAAAATGCAGCTATTATTTTATTGCGTTAAGATTTCTGTGGAGAAATAAAATAAAAGACAGAAAGAGCAAAACTAGGTTAGTGCCTCAAGGGTTTAATTATTCATAGATTTTTTTGGGGGACTTATTGTGGATCATTTAAGTTAAGTTGCTGCTGACATGGATTTGCTGTTTGAGTGGTTTTTGAACGGTGTTTGTGTGGCCGTGGTGTTTTTAGGGGCAGAGTTGGAAGATGTGAAGAAGCTGCTGAAGGGACGCTCCAGCAGCGTCAGTCCAACCCGCTCCTCCGCCTCAGTCACCCTGCCAGTCCCTAAAAAAGCCAGCGTGGAGACCAAGACCGTCTCAGTGGGCACTCAGTCAGGTATATTCTGTTACCGGAGCTACAAATGTGCGTGTGCAGCGCATTCTTAGACACTTTGTCTCCGACCCAGACGATTTAATCTAGATTGCTATTTGACCCGCTGTCACAACCAAGCATCTTGTTCTTTAAAGTCCAAAAGTGTTTATCTAAAAACATGACCCTGCAGTGTGATAGACATAATATGTCTTAATAGAAAAACGTTTTTGTCCATTTTTGAAGCAATTGAAAAGTAACATTTGAGTGAATTATGAATATTTTCAAGTATGCTTTATAAAAATGTTTATGGAAAATTATGATTTTTAAAAAAAAATAATATTATAGTAAACTTAAAAAGGTGTTTTGTACAGGCAAGGCCACTGTTTGATGGACAGGATCTTTGTGCCAAAACTATAATTAATGTGTAACATGAAATGAGGAGCTAGAAAAATGACCAAACACAGAATTGCAACCACGTTTATTTAAAATTGTGCTATATATGATTCATGGTTGCAAAGTGAGTTACTTTTAAATAAACAGGGATTTACAGTGTTTGTTGAGGTGTGACCTGCAGATTCAGCAATCGATTCATTTTTAATACATCAAAACAATATATCACAATTAGATTATCTACTTTTCTCTATCAGAGCTTATAAAAAATATAAGTATCTCTTTTACTCTCATTCTGATTCATAATCCTAATTCAGCCCTCTACCTAGTGAAGCTTTGCAACATTGTAAGGTTAGAAAACAGTATTTGAGCCTGTTAGTGTTATGAAATGATCATTTAGTAGAGTTTAGTTGTATGTAAAATATACTTTTCTCTAATAAAAATATGATAAAACAGTGTGTAAATTTAATTTCTCAAATTTTTATGTCTTTGATGATTTTCTCCAACAGCCTCAACTCTATTTGAACCTGTTGTTCAGACGAATGGGTTCAACACTATCGACGTGTCGAGCCTCCATGACAGCAGACTGACATCCAGGCTGCACCACCCTGGTGTCCAAACAGGCCAACACACTGTCACAGTAAAGCCATGCCACTGTGACGCTGGAGTCAAATCCAGCCAGTATGACGTGAGCCTGAGTTCAGGTCAGTACGATACTGGTCTGAAGTCAAGCCAGTATGATGTTTGTCTGAGCTCAGGCCAGTACGATACCGGTCTGAGAACCGGCCGATATGACATGAGTCTGAAATCAGGCCAGTATGACACCACTGGGAGATCAGGCCAATACGACACCCTGGATTCAGCCTTTCCCACTTACTCCTGGTCCACCTCCACTTTGCCCTCCTCCTCCACAACCGTCGTCGCTGGCAACACCAGCAGCTACACCTATCAGCTCGGTCAGGTCAGCGCCAACAACAGGTCGGGAGGCTCCCCGCCAATCAGTCCCGTCCCACAGCAGTCTCTATCAGGTCAGAATCATCAATTGGAGGCACACCCACAGGAATGCGCGGATGCATTTTGTGCACTGAATGTTTTAATTGACTAGAAGCTTAACAAGCGACAAACTGCTAAAGTCTTTCATTAAGTTTCCCATTCTGTGTCCGCATCTCTGTTTCCAGTTTATGGTTTTCAGAATAATCTGGCTCCCACCTCTATCGGTGTGCTCACCACCAGCGGCGGCAACGTAACCGCTAACCTGGGAGGTAATGGCTGCTCGTCTGTGGAGTATCCGATAGCTACCACGCAATAATAAAGCACAACAGATCTTTTATTTAGTGATGTATGTTTGGTCTGACAGGGTACGGCGTCCAGAAGAACATGTCAAACGGCAGTGCTGTCATAAGCTCAGGGATCTCTACAGGTAAGCATAGAAAAGTTGGCCTTTTTCTCTGGATTTAAAAGAATCCAGATCATTTTTTTTTCTCTGCAGCTCCTGAAGCTGCACAATTTATCCAACTGAAATGGCCTCTGAGTGGGTTTCATCTTCTTTAGCCACCAGGTCCCAAACCGATGATGTCTACAAGAGAGACTACAGATATATGGCCTCTGAGAAGGAGAACGTTCCTGCCAGGAGGGAGGGAGAAATGCTCATTCTGGCAAAAGACAGCGGCAAGCAGTTCACCACCACCAGCAGCACTCATATCGGAGGAGGTGAGAGGTGAACTCATGCCCCCCTAAGGAGGACAAGAGGCATGTCTCATGTCTTTGGAGGAGACACAGCACTTAATTTAAACCCAGGAGCCCACCTGCTTAAGCTTCAGTATAAATATCACTTTATTTATCAGTTTCTTTCCTTGCGTCACAATGGACAAAAAGTAGAACACAAACAGAGCCCTATATTTTCGTACAGTGCTTATATTGAAAGGGATGCCAATTTCCGACTGTCCCGTAAGTAGGTAATTGAAAAGAGACTATTTTTTCCTATTGTGCAGCCATAAGATTCAGTGGTACCCAGGAAAATGAGCCATTTTGCCCAAATCAAAAAATGGTACTCACATGTTCTGTACAGCAGTATTTATTTATTTTACCGTGTGCTCACCACAAGGGGGCACCGATGTTTATTGATGTAATTGGATTGTGCAAAAAGTTGGTTTTGAGTGATTGTTTGCCATTATGATCGCCACAGGTTCACTTTCAGGAGACTCAATAAAGAAGGAGAAGCTTATATCCAGCTACGTTGACACGGGCACTCTGAAAGCAGAGACAGGCAATTCATACTGTAAGCATAAATTATACTTATCTTTTCAGAAATATTAGTTTTTAGTAAAAATAGTGGAAATTGATCTGTTTGGTTTTTTGTTTTTTATTTTCATTAGACGGATCATCCGGAGTCCTGATGAAAGATAAGGCAACCTATGCAGGTATATCAATAGAATGCTTTTAGGTATTATTTCTTAACTAAAGCCCATTTGGAGCTTTACTTGCAGTATTATCACACACTGACCTGAAGCCATCTTTAGCATCTTTCTTCTATTTTGATGTTTTATAAATTAGAAAAATGCTAAATTGATAGACGAAAGCTGGGATTTGACTCCTCGGGTTAATCTGCTGTTGTCAGAGATTCACAGAGACAGCGGCGTCTTTGGGGGAGGAGGACTATGCTGCTGCTCCGACTCCTGCTGCTCCTGGTGGAAGTGGCTGCTGGGTTTGCTGCTCCTCGGCCTGCTTCTGCTCGGGCTCCTGTTTGGCCTCATCGCACTGGGTAAGACAAGAGGCTTGTAAAAGCATCGACTTGATTAAAGTAATACTAAGAAAATAAATGTGTCCCTAAAGAAACCACTTCAGTCCTGAGAGGTTAGAGTTTCAGCACCTCCGAGGGCGACAGCTTTTAGACCAGTAGAATGCGCTGCTTTAGCTTTTACACACTGGAGAACGTTTTTTCACAGCACTGTGAGACAGTACACGTGGTCCCTTTTCTTGGAAATTTGATCTCACTCTCATAAAGTCTGGCATTCATTGGTGCAGCTTTGGAAATTGTTGCGTGATGACATCACATCACACGACTCGTCTAAGATCTGCAGTGAATGAACCAACAATCTGCCTCCAGAGTGATAAACAGAACTGTAAAATCTACTTTCTCTCTTTTTAAAGTCACTATTAACTTACGAAATGTAGTAGATCATAGCATGATTAGCTTTTAATTAGCAACACTCATTTTAATATTGCCCCCCTAAATAAATGCCTTTTGTAAAAGACCACTTGACCTTCCCTTTATTAGGTTTAATTGTTAATTCCCTTTTGATGCGTCACTTTAAAATCTTTTCCATTCACTGTAACTCCAGCAGCAAGGTTTCCGTCTTGATATTTCTCCTCTGTATTGAAGCTACCCTACCTCATGCCAGAAAACACTTTTTCAATGAAATAGCAAGGCTTATAGCTGCATTTGATTGTCTGGTTGTAAACTCCAGCACTGATTTGTAGAAAAGAACCAATTCTTTTGTCAGTAAATATACTTGATTATGGTGACTAAAACCCTCACAGAAGTGTCACTATACTGGCATATTATGAGACACAAAAAAGTGCATGTAAAGTGAGAGATGGAATAAAACATCTGAAAAGTGTGGCATGCATTTATATTCCCCTCATTCACCCTTCCTGAGTCAATATCAACTGGCATCACATTTCACTGTTTAGAGCCCCCAATGTTTCTGTGTGTCTGTGTCTGCTTTGCACATCCAGAGACTGAAATATTTGCTGATTTGAGCATTTTTAAGCCTTAGTGTGTGTTTTGGATTTATGTCTGGACTTTGACCGGGCCATTCTAACACATACGTACCGGAACCATTTAATTGTAATTCCGGCTGCATCTTCAGGTTGGCTATCCTGTTGGAAGGTGAACCTCTGGCCGAAACCTCAAGTACTTTGCAGACTCTCGCAGCTTTTCTTCCAGAGTTGCCCTGCATTTAGCTGCTTCCACCACCCATCATTCATCTCTGACTAGCAGTAGCGCCCTTTTACCACACGCTGTTTTAGCATATTGTCCAAAATCTCAACTTTTCTTCTACATTCTCACCGGACCCTTACATGGCTTATCCCAAACTGCAAATAGTGCTTTGTATGACTTTCTTTTTGTGTCTCTCCTTGTCACGTTTTCACCTGTGCTGTGGATCTACAGCTTCTCCAGAGTAACCACGGGCTTGTTGGCGAAACACTTTGATACATGCTCTCCTTGTCTGACCTGCTAGTTTAACTAGGCAGCCTTGTCTTGGTATTTTTGAAAGTTGCAGTCTTTTTTCTGAGATGTTTCAAGCTGTGGATACTTACAAATCTTCCCAAGATATGGCTGTGGGTTTCAAGAACAGGCTGATTTACAATGAGATAAATTACATACAGATGGACCCTATTTACTAAATAGGGAACTTCAGTTGGGATGAAATTGATTTTACTTTGGGGAAGACTAAAGACGGCTGAATAAAATGCGTACCACATTTTGAATTTTTATGTCACTTTACAATAATAAATCACTTTTTTCTGGTCTATTATATAAGATTGCAATAAAACACATGAAAGTTTGCAGCTATAATATTACATCACATCATAGCCTTGCCTCTGTCTATGGCTTTGTGAAAATATTTTCTGGTTAATTTGCCCTTTTCCCACAAGATTACGTGTTTATGTAACGTAATTTTGACAGCACAAGTTACTTCTCGCATCCTTTTGAAGTCCTGGATACTGATTAAGGATGTAAATGCATCAGTGTGAATTGGTGATTTAAGTATACTGAAAAATACAAACAGCTTGTCAGATTGAACACAGAAAATTGTCATTCTTTCAGCCGAGGATGTGAGGAAGCTCAAGAAGCGAGTGTCGACTCTGGAGACCGATATCTCGGTTGCCAATGCTCGCACCAGTCGGCTGTGGGGTCCTTCCAATGACATCAACACCTATGTGAGCGGCGGAGGGGGAGGCACCGACAACACACTCATCCTCGGATTCGGAGGTGCCGGTGGAGGTGGCTCAGACTCCAAAGCGCAAATCAGTATTGCTGGTGCTGGTGCTGGTGCAGGCGGATCTGCCAGTCGGAATGATGTTGATGTCGGCGTTGTGGGTGTCGGTGGAGCTGGAGGGGTTGCGGGAGCTGGAACTGGCTCCAGTAGCAGCTCTGGTACCAGTATCAGTGGGAGCGCCGGCAGTGCTGGTACCAGCTTGAGCGGCGGTGCTGGGAGTGCCGGTGCTGGGAGTGCCGGTGCTGGGAGTGCCGGTACTGGGAGTGCCGGTACCAGTTTCGTCACTGGCACCAGCGTTGGGACCAGCGGTGGTGTCAGCGGTGGGGTCAGCAGCGGTGGGGTCAGCGGCGTTGGGACCAGCGGTGGGACCAGTGGTGGGACTGGAGTGAGTGGAAGATACATAGATAGCGCCTTCCTTCAGTTGGCCATTCATCAAATGTTGAGGTCAGAAATGCAGTCACAGGCATTCAGAGGTAAAGCACAAACACACACTCTCCCACATGCATGTTCTGAATTCAGTTGACTTATAATCCATTTTCTGACTCAGGCTTCCTGGCATCCTCAGTGCAGGGAGAGAGGGGATTACCTGGGCCTAAAGGTACCAGTAAAACACAGAGTTTTTTCATGAAAACCAAATATATGAAACTTCTCGTATGTAATGAGAATCCATCTGCTTATTTATTTTAATTCTTTGCTTTTTTCAGGGGACTCTGGATTGAAAGGTAAGCAAGAAAGATGTCTGTTTTCCATTTTTCCCTTTGCAGTTTCATGAAAGTAAAATATTTTTATGTATCAACAGGGGAACCTGGTTTCCCTGGAATTCCAGGTGTGTAGCCAATTTCAACCAGCTGATTTTCACGTTTTTCCTTTGGAAGATTAAGCTCTTTCATGACATAATCCTCCTGACTTTGACCTTTGCTTTCAGGCGCACCAGGTCCAATGGGACATGCTGGTCCTGAAGGTCCCAAAGGACAGAAAGGAAGCCAAGGTAAAGAGATTGCACTACGCTCTATTGTGGTACTTATTGGTTGGTGTGGATTGATGTCTTTAATGCAAAATGTCTGGTCAGGTGAGCATGGAGTGGACGGGCCACCAGGCATCAGGGGCCGCGAAGGACCACCGGGGCCAAGAGGCGACCAAGGACCTGCAGGCTTTGGAGTCAAAGGGGATAAAGGTATGACTTTGTGTCGGGGTCATAGGCCGTTACTGTAGCGTTTCTGATCGGTTCAGAAGCAAGGGGGGTTTCTTCATGATGTCATGTTTGGGTTTCTCTAGGTGAAGCTGGATCTGTTGGACCTGCTGGGGCCCCTGGACAAAAAGGTAAGATGAGTGGAGAAAAAAAAAAAAAAAACTTCATATTTTGTAGAAAATAAATAACTAGGTGAAGTAAGACCGGATGTTTCTATCAAGAGCCCTCTTTGGTGTAAGAACTAAACAATGCCACCAGATGGCACTGTGGAGTCATTTTTAATTCTTGCTCAGAGGCGGCGTCAACAACCTTCCCCAGCAGTTTCAGATGAAAGTGGAGCTCACTAATCAGATCACAGTTATCCGGTTTATGTGCAACTAAAACATGCAGCCGAGTCACAGCTGTCAGCGAGACAAACAGCAGGAACATCAACAGCTCTGCTCGTGTCTCCATAACATCAGTCAAATGAAGCACATCATCACTAACCACCTGGCTGAGATTTTCCCAGGATGCACTTCGACTTTGTTTCGGATACAATGCCTCGACGAACTTGATGGTGTAACCTAACAGACATGACGCGAGGGAAGTAAATAATGTAAATAATTCAAAGCTCAGACAGGAAAGACAATAGAGTCTGGATTTCACATATTGAGAGATAAACTGTACTCTCATATGTGCATCATGAGACATTAGGATATTGTTGAAAAGTAAATGTTTCATACTCATAACACTGCAGCAACACTGCAGCAACATACAGTTTCTCTCTCACATGAAACCAACACAAATGATTATTAATTCAGAAATATTCAATCAATACTATTTAGTGACCTACATTAACTCTAATAAGATTTGTGAACTCTTAGTTGTCCAGCAGGTGTTTATATATTAGTGAAGAATAAAATAAACGTTAATATGTTTTTGTTATTAGCAATAAAATTTAGCAGCACGTGTTCAGCAGCCATTGGAGAACCTTTAGCTTTTGAATACTCAAGAGACAATATTTTGGGATACATGACAATGCTGTGTTCCACCTTACCTTCATATGGAAAGTTGAATGGAAGGAAAAAGTGAGCTGGCGCATGGAGCACGATCACAGAGATTAAATGTCTTCAGAGGCTACGCTTGCTGAACATCTCACCAGCAGTAATTCATTAGCAGCAAGCCATATTCACCAAAATTAACATAAATAATTGCTTGAAATACGTCACTGTAATGATGTAATGAACCTGAAACACATGGACGTTGTGATACGCTTCATTTTTATTGAGATGACGATGTAACATCCTTTTCGAGGTGAGAGGTGTTATCCGACTCCTCTTCTCGCTCCACTGCAGCAGCAGGTGTTTCTTTTGTAAAATAGATGGCACTGAACGCCACAGTGCAGATGCAAAGTAGTAGGTGGTCATGGTGATTTATGCTTTGTTTTGTCCATAGGTGCACAAGGAGTCCAAGGCTCGCCTGGTCAGTTTCTGTCTTTCGTACATACACACTTTCCCAGTTTCAGTAGCTGACAATGTGATTTGATTTTCTTCATTCTTGGCTTCCTGGACGTCAACCAGGTCCTCAGGGTTTCCGTGGCGAGGCAGGACTACCTGGACCAAAAGGTTGGTTTGACACCCAATTTCACCTCTCAAATAACATAGCAGAGCAAATGTTAGCCGTTTGGCGCTCATGGCGATTTCTTTCTCGCTCTCTCTTTTTCTTGCAGGTGATCGAGGGCTTGCTGGATTCCAAGGACTCAAAGGTTTGCAGCTCTCCTCTTATTTTCAGACATAATGTGGAGAAAGATCGGAATCAGTTTTATTTCACTCTGGATTTCAGGTGAAACAGGTGAAAAGGGAGTCCGAGGTCTGCAAGGTGAGCGCAGCTCTGTGGATTGTTATGAACTTGGTTCGGTCTGCATGGCTTTACTGATCCAGACCTCTTACTTATCAGGGGAACCTGGTTTACCAGGACCAGCAGGAGAGAAAGGCTCCAAAGGATCTGCGGGTGAGTCGCAGGACTAACTAATCAAATCTGACATGATCTTGCTGTTCCAGACTATTAACTGGATCCTCACTGAGTTCCTCAGTGAGTTTACCTCACTGAGGTAAATTAAATATATCATTTCATACTGAATTTTACCACCCAAGAAGGTCTGAAACGCATCAACCTGTGGTCATCATGAACTCAGTTGCTTATTTTATGGACTTCAGGTGACCAGGGACCGTCTGGACCTCCTGGAATCAGGGGTTCTGCAGGGCCTCCTGGAGATGCTGGACTTCCAGGTAAAATCCCTTCTTTTAAAATATTTGTTGTTTGACCACATGCATATTTTTTATTGCTATAACACATGTTGCCTCCTTCCCCCTGTAGGAACACCAGGGCTTCAAGGACCACCAGGTAGGCAACTTTTTAAGGCACAAAAATCAAAGACACCGATTCAGTTCTTCTTGTTTAAAAATATGGTTCGGGATTTTTGAACTGAGGTTCTGTTAAAACAACATAAGCACTTAAAATCTCCCCAGCTTCAGATTGGTTGCCTGTGGAGACTACAAATGATGTCTCATCCAAGATTAATGGAAACTTCTAAAACGTTACCCTTATCCTATAAACCTTTAAAACTGTCACCATGTTCACAGTCGGTGCACATCTTAATTATGAGTCAGAAAACCAGTTGGATTTGTAGTTTGGTCTTGACTGAGCAACTACAAGCAACACAAGACAATAACAATGTCTTGTGTTGCTTGTACCTGCAATCAAATACATCAATCAAAGGAACATGTTCAGAAATGGCACAGAGCTGTCTGGCACTGGTTTAATAAAAAAACAGACGGTCAGAAATACCAATAAACAAGTTATTTCTGAAACTGTAAGCGAGTTATACGGCAGCTGCCATATTGGATTCTCCGGCCTCGGCTGCTGGGAACTCAGAAAAAACAATTTTTGAATACACAGAGAATGAAACAACTGCAAATTAGATAGAAAGATATCGAGTGCTTCTGACCTTAACAGAAACTCTTTAAAAAAAAAAAAGAAAACGAAAAAAGAAAGTCTGCTTTCATTCCTGTAATGTTTTCCACATCGACGCTGTTCTTTGTTACGTTAGGAATTCCAGGAAATCCTGGCCGACCAGGAGCCAAAGGTACAGCTGCTGTCCACCTGCAGAGCTTTCCTTTCAGGGAATGTTCTTCAGCTGTTTGACGTGCGTTTGTGTGTTTCAGGTGAACCCGGTCAACCTGGACGAATCATCAATGCGGGTGAAGGAAATTAGAATGACAAAAACAATTTTCAGCCCACTCGGTGAGACAGCAGCTAATGATGTAGCGATCTCTGTCGTTTCCCAGCCGGCTCTGCTTCTGTTGGCATCCCAGGACCACCTGGACCTGCTGGGCCCCCGGGTCCCGCTGGTCCTCCCGGACTATCAGGTCTCTCTCTCTCTCACAGAAATCATTCCTGACAAGTTTTTGCCATCTGTTACGGTAGATTGTTGAATCTGGTGACTGCTGCAAGTAGAAACCAGCTGATGTTTTAAATTGGTCCCTTCAGGTCCCATTGGCCCTGCTGGCCTGCCTGGACCACCTGGTAGGTCGCTGTGGACGTATACATTCATTTTATTTTAAACATTTTGCTCTTAGATGGCAAGTCTGACAGGTGTTGTGTTCTACGTGTCCCTGCAGGTCCTAAAGGTGACAGAGGACATAAGGGAGAGCAGGGAGAGACTGGAATAACCAGGGAAACCTTCAGTTCATCTACAGCAGAGAGTGAGTCCTTTGTAATCTTCCTGCAGATGAATTTCCAATTTAATTTAACGCAGAATACGCTGAACGTAAATCTCTCTTTCTTTTTTAAACTAAAACATTATATTTAAGTTGTAAAGTTTCTAACATTGTGGTTGTGAACGATGGATATTTAGAAGCCTTTGCCACTCATTAGGGGTGTTTATGTAACAGTAAATCTCAATCTGCAACAAACTAACATATTTTGACCGCGGCTCAATTCGTAAGTCGCACTTTTGAACACCGATGTCCGAGTGAATCATCAAAATGATCACAACCGAGAAATGATTTAGAAAACATCTTCGTAGCTCGAGGAGAACTCGCTGTGTGGTGAAGCACGGCGGTGGCTGCATCATGACGTGGGAACGCTTTTGTTCAGGAGTGCAGAGCTGAGGCCGGAAACCCGCATTCCATGACAGTGCAAACCTTTTAACGTATGGTGAGGTACAACAGGATGGCTTTAGTTGATGAACATTCAGCTAAAATGTCCTAGTCAAAGTCAAGACCTACATCTAATTGATGGTCTTTGGTTAGACAATTATGTTCATAGATGCTTTGAATTCAGTCTAGCTGAGCTTGAGCCATTTAGCAGAGAAACAATGATGGTTTCTGTAGATGCTCAGCCCTGCAGAATCAGCTGCTGTAGTTTAAAAACGGGATTCTCCTTCGCCTTACAGACGCGCAACTGTTGGTTTAGCAGATGAATCCCGTGAGCACACACCGACTTTTATGGATGCAATGTGAAAAAGTTCATTCGTTCTGAGCGCTTGATACAAAAGTCTCATCGTGGGATTTTGATGACGTCTTCACCTGCATCTTTGTCGCCGCCTTTTTTATAATTGCTCGAGAATTCAGGGAGTTTTTTTTTCTTTTCTCAAACTTGTGGTGCAAAAGTAATTATTCTTATTATTATTTCTTTAAAAAGATTTTATTCTTGGTTTGTTCTTCAGGGCAGTTCGGTGCTGGAGGAAGCTCCTCTTTCCGTGCCATACCTGGGCCACCGGGTCCACCTGGGCCTCCCGGACGTCCAGGTGAGAGAGAGATCAGGCGGCGTCCCGAATCCCCACTAACTCAGGTGGTTTCTGACGTTTTGTGCTTTCATCAGGCGACTCCAGACAAGGACCTCCAGGACCACCCGGGCCTCCAGGGCAGCCAGGCAAGTATTCATATTCGCTTCTGCAACAGTTGCTACAGCAACGCATGCAGACAAGATGATGATGATGATGATGATGATGATGATGATGCAATGTCCGGGTGGAATTTAAATGCCGTTACGTTTCGCTCTTTAGGTTACGGGATACCTGGACCTAAAGGAGAAAAGGGAGATGTGGGTTTCGCGTCCAGCTCAGGTAAAATCCAAAGTTTATCATCTAGTTTCTGTAGTTTGCTGGAACTTTCCAAGCCTGTTGTGACACACACTTTTCTGCTGCTCTGCTTATAGGAACATATTATTCTGGACCGCCAGGACCTCCTGGACAGCCTGGACCCAAAGGATCAACAGGTGATCACGGTTATAAATCCACCTCCGTGTATTGACGCTGTATGTTTGCTCACACTCACAGTCACGTTGCCTCTGTGTTTGCTTCAGGCTCTCCTGGACCCCGCGGATACACAGGTGCTTTCTGTAGTTCACCTTTACAAAGATCACACAGATTTTAATGTTTGGAGCTAAAAAAAATAAAACCCAAAACAGCCATGACGTCTGACAAGACTGACTGTCACATGTGTCTCAGGTGAGCAAGGCCCACCAGGCGCGCCTGGGACACCAGGAAGAGCAGGAAGCTCCATTGCGTATGGAGGAAACGCAGTTCCTGGACCACCGGGTCCACCGGGGCCTCCTGGACTCCCAGGGTTACCTGGAGTGAAGGGTAAAGCCGATAAGATGTAGAGATGAATGAATTGCCTCGTTGCTGTGTTGTTTGTGTTTTTCTTGACAACTCGTGTGATCACACGTGTGCGTTTTTCCTTTGACAGGAGACACTGGAGCTCCAGGAATTCCCGGAGCATCGAGAGGTGGGAATTTTCAAAACATTCCTGCTAAACACTCTTCAATCTTGTTCACTGGTTGTGTTTGTCAAACAAACAAACAAACGAAAAAAAACAAACCGCAAACTATCTTATGTTTCCAGGTTCAGTCTCAGTCACCTCTGGCCCTGCTGGTCCCCCAGGACCCCCAGGGCCTCCTGGCCTGCCGGGTTCCTTCGCTTCCTCCACTGAGATGCGGCAGTACATTTCAGACTATCTGAGTACGTCTTTTTGCCAAGAACAAGGGAGTTGGAGGACGGGAACAAACTACTGATATGCCTTTATTTGGTCCCTGCAGGTAGATACAGACTGAGCAGCATACCTGGCCCTCCAGGTCCACCTGGGCCTCCAGGACTCCCAGGAACCTTCTCAGGGTCTATAGACGACATCTCTACTCGCATTATTGCATACCTGCGACGTAAGACCTGCTACCGGTCGTACAAAGGGCCGCTACCTTTGACCTTTAGGGGAGGTGACAGTTGGCTGTTTGTAACCATGTTTTAACTGTGGAACTGCAGGTTCAGACTCAGGCTTCAGTATCGGCGTTCAGGGACCTCCAGGACCGCCCGGTCCTCCTGGGCCCGCCTCTGGCTCCCTGACTGTCAGCGCTCTCATCGCCATGCTTCAGAGTGAGTACATAAACAGCTTCCTAAAAGATGTACATACATCCCTAGTGAAAATGTAAGTTGGAAAGCCTCAAAAGGTCAACATATATCGACCTAATCTCAGAACATTTTACACTTAGTGTCACGTAAAATGCATTTTTCAGCTTTATGCGATGTTGTAATGTTATTCCCTCATCAAAAACACACTTCAAGTGTTGCTTTGATTTTTCATGCATGTTTGAGAAAATCCTTTAATCTCCCTCGGCCACCATTCGGGTGTGTCTAAACGCTTCCTCTCACAAAGCACCGACTATTTCCACGAAGCTCCTCTAGACTAGCGGCAGCAGCAGTTAGCAAACACCAGGTGGAGCTGCACTTCTGCTGAGTTCATCATAAGAACTACTTCTCAGTCCTAAAAAAAAAGTTGTCAGAGTGGAAACGATGAAACAGAAAAGACAAATCGTTCCTGTTGTGAAGCTGTGGGCTGGAAGCTCTGTGTCTGGAAGCCTTGTTGAAATACAGAGGTACAAATCTTGTGACCTTTCACCAGAAAACTGTAGACTGGATATCTAGGTGTGTGTTCAGCAGCAGAATCCCGTGAAACATAACTACAAATCATCAACGGTTCAGAAAATACAAACTCAACTTCCTTCCCAAGACTGAATACTATGAAATGGGTTTAAAGATGGAGCGAGAAGAGAAGAGGGAATCGAAGATCCAGGACTCTGGACGATCTAGAGCAGGGATCCTGAACTTCGACAGTTGGTGTCCTGCAACCATTATATTCCTGGTTCCTGGTCTAAACACACTTGCATCCCATGGTGCAATTTCCTCCTTAACATGCAGTCAGGATTTACACACTCCTGTGTAAATCAATCAAAGACGCATCTAAAATTTGCAAGACACGACTGACCTTTGATGATCAAGGAAAAAGGAGATCGGATCACGGAAGATCCCCCCTCATATGCCATTACAGGATCAAACCATGTTCTCTTCTATTGGTTGAAAGACTGTCTACAAATACGCGGTCGCCATCTTTCTAGTGTTATTTTCTAGAAAAATTTGAAAGTGATACTTTTCCTCATGTGTGGTGACAGAAAAACTGAAATTCATTGAAATCCATTGTGTCTTTACTTTATCCTCATGTTGGACCGTGCAGACACCGAGGTTTCATCGGGTGTATCAGTCTGATCTGTGTATCTGTGGTTTGAAATGTCTAGGAGATGACGTGAGAAGATATTTGTCTGGACCACCTGGGCCTCAAGGACCTCCCGGACCCCCAGGGGCCTCAGGAGGACTCTCCGGCACTTACAGAATAGAGGAGATAGCCACATATGTCTTCAACATCATGAACGGTAAGAACAGCTCGCAGGAGAAGTCCGTAACCTTGGGAGGTGAGGTCAATCACTGAGGTTCCTCTGACGTTCAGAGAGGGGGATTGCGAGAGGCCCGCCAGGTCCACGAGGTCTACCGGGCCCCCCCGGCGCCCCAGCCGCGGGAGGCTCTGGCTTCACCACCGCTACCATCGACTACTCGGCTCTGATGCGAAGTGAGAGCGCTCTGTCAGTTTTACACGTCTTCACAGACGCAGAGTGGAAACTAATCGCCATCTTGATCCACACAGATTCAGATTTCCGCTCCTGGATCACTTCCACTGTGCAGCAAGGTCCTCCTGGTCCTCCGGGTGTCCCAGGGCTACCTGGGCCTCCCGGTCCTCAGGGGCCCCCAGGGGTCTCCACGGCGACGGTGTACGGATCGGGAGGGCGTGGCTACAGCTTGGAGGAAATTCAGCGCTACCTGCAGGGTGAGTCTGAAAGAAACTAAAGCCCACTTGAGTTTGGGTCGACATTTTGTATTTTCCGGTCTAGTTCATGTTCAGAGGGTCGAAGCAACAAGAAATAAAGACGACGACCAAATCAGTTTCGTGTCTCACAACTTCATCTACTTTAATGAGCATGAACCTGAGAACTGTGTGTAACTCGATCTTACTGTGCTCTGTCTCAGGTTCTGGACTCAGGGGTCTCCCTGGACCCCCCGGCCCCCCGGGTCCCCAGGGGCCACCGGGCAGCGTCACCGGATCAGTGACCTACAGTGGAAATTTCCCTCGGGAGAGCATCCGCGCCGAAATTCAACAGTATCTGTCTAGTAAGAATCTTAGCAGCTCACTCACACACACACACACACACACACACTCACACACACACACACACCACACACACACACACACACACACACACACACACACACACACACACACACACACACACACACACACACATATGCAAATGTTTTAATATTCAGTATTTCTGACCTCTTAGTTCAGAAATACATGCGTTAAATTGTAATGAGACATTAGCTGCTCCCCATCAGATATAGACAAATTTGGTGACTATTTAATTCCACTGCATACGTGGAAGTGGAGAAAATATGACAAAGCATTTTAGCACCAACCCCTCAGTAGTTGTCAAGCATGGTGGTGGTGGGTTGATGATTTGTGCTCATCTTGCAGCCACGCTACCTGACAATAAAATGAAAAATGTTAAGCATTGGGTTAAGCAAACGCTGGATGTCAGAGGGTTTTATATTTCAATCTTATTTTAGCGATTAGCACAATTAGCATCACTGGGAAAGCAGTCAGTGTATTTCCTAGAAATTTTAGATTCTTACAACAACGAAGAGATGCCAACATTTATCACCATTTTTCACTTTAAGCTCAGAAGGATAAAACGACCAATTTTGCTGGATCCTCTCAGCCTTTCTGAAGAGTGCTGAAAGTCCTGCTCTCTCTCGCTCTTCTGCAGCCTAAAAGAGCTGCACGTGTTTTAGAGAACACGGCTCCCTTCTGCAGTGTCTTGCATCTCTGTTGCTCCTCTGACTTATATTGTTTTCTTAAACTCACCGGCCTGAAAACAGCCCCACTTTGAGCCTCTCATCATAACTTCCCCACTGAACAGTGTTACAAAAATCAGTTCTTAGACATGGTGCATAAAATGGTTGAATGAAACAGATCAAGCTGCAAATTGTTGGATTACAGTGACCTGCTGATTTCTCAAACAAAAAGGACTGATGCAAATTAATTGACACGGGGTCAGAAGGTCGTGTTCGGAATATGCACACACGGCAAACCTGCCGTATCACGTTCAGCCTCGAATTCCTTTCTTTTTTTTTTTTTTTTTTCTCCCAGGCGACAGCGTTCGACGTACCATTGTCGGGCCTCCGGGTCCCCAAGGTCCGAAGGGTCAGAAGGGAGAACGCGGAGAGCCTGGCTACTCGCAGAGTTACGTACAGAGCCAAAGCTACCAACAGAGCGACGATCGCTACGGCTCCCAGCGCAGAGACGTGGATGTCAGCAGGCTCACCGAGACGCTCGACTACTCCAACGTCGCCATGAGGGTCACAGACTATATTAAGAGTGAGTGGACAACGGCTGCTGCAGTTTTTTCTCAGCGCTTCTCTAAATGCGCAGTGATTTTGGTGATTATTAATTAACAACATAATAAAATTTCCATACTTGACATTAAGAAAACGGAAGAATATCATCAGAATGAGACAAAAAAAGCAGTTTCTGCGTCTTCTGATAGGATGTAAAATGTCTGGTCTTCCTGCAGATCAAGGCCTGCTGCAGCAGTACCTCTCAGACGGTTCATGGAGGACAAACGTCCGAGCAATTCAAGGACCCCCAGGTCCACCGGGCCCTCCAGGACCACCCGGCTACAGCCGTGTGATTGGCTCCTACGGCAACGTCACGGCTGACCTGATGGACTTCTTCAGGAGTGAGGACGAAGAGTTTTAGCTCTCCGCCGTCTTCATCGAAATCAGGAAGATAACAACGTGGCAGCGGGCAAATGTTTTCAAACGACTCGTTTTGTTTTGTCAGGACACGGCACCGTTCCCGGCCCGCCAGGAAGCCCAGGTCCAAAGGGAGACAGAGGGTACCCAGGACCCAAAGGAGACAAGGGTAAGATTTGCACGAACCTGATGAAACTCTGCACCTTTCATAGAGACGTTTCATAAAACTAAAGGAAAGAGATTTGGTTGGATCACAGGTGATCCAGGACCTCCGGGTTTACCTGGAATCCCAGCGCCCCTCACTGTCCAGATTCCACACAAAGTGCGAAAGAGAGAAGCAGGTAACTTCAGCGAAAACATCGGAATTTATCTAAAAGATAAAATATGTGAAAAACACGCTCACAAATCATTACATATCTTAACTGTTTTTTGTTTTGATGCAGGCGATAAAGTGGCGGTTCGTCAAAAGCGTCGTCGACGTCAAGCCGGGTTCGGCTGAAGGCCGTCCTGCTGGCCGACGCAAAATTCCACATCAGCTTTGTTTTTTTTCCTTTTTAAAATTTTAGTTGTTAAACTGTACAAATATGCTCTTTACTGTTTCTGTCCAAGACAGGTTTGGTTTGGGAAAATAAAAAAACAAAAGCATTCATCTCTTTAACAACGCTTCTTATAGAGGTGTTAGCCTGCGGTTTCTAGAAGGCTCAGACTTCACTGTTCAACTTGTGGGTGTGTAATGTTTACTTTGCTCAGTTAGAGGCTTGCGTTCCCTCAGCCTGGCGGCAGCTTTTGCCTAGCAATGAGCGGCGGTTGCTTTTTATTTCGAATGCAACCGTCTGCTCTTTTTACTTTTTTATACTTGCTGACATTTGGGGATTATATGTATCGAGGAATATAGAAGCATTAATTTCGCATGGGCCCCATAAAAATATTTTTAAACCATTCAGCCTCTAACAAAAAACACGAGCTAGACTCAAAGTGAGGGTCATTTTACGAAGGTTTGAGATTTACTTGAAAGGTTTTGTTGGTATAAAGAAGAGAAATATGTTTGTATTATTGTAGAGATGGACTCGGAAAGACGCGACTGATTTAATTGTATATTTTTGTGTAAGAGCACTGAATTTGATATTTTCTATATGCCTTAAGTGTTGGAGAGAATAAATTATAAACATGGATGAACCTTTTGGATTAAAATACCAGACAACAAAAAACAATAAATCTATTTTTGGATTTGGGAGTCTTTGTATTTTTATGACTATTTTAGAAACAGTTTCAGTCAAGTCTTCAAATAAACAGTCAGGGTTTTATTTACAAGAAAAGAAAAATGGGCATTTTATAAAGATGCATTAAATACATTAGATCTGACATCAAAAATGCATATTATAGGAATATTCATGATGGGAGAGTGACGCTTGAAAACGATGCAACTGAAAAGGAAAAAAACGAAGAAATCTAAGAACTAAGAAAAATCCAGCATTCATTAAAAAATGATGTTCAAGTCATCGTATAGAAAATATACCACAGAGCAGCAACAAATTAATATGATGATGTAACATACAGCTGAAAGCTTCAGATGCTAACATTCATACAGTAACAGGTACTCTGATAAGCAACGACAGCATCAAGGTAGGGAAGCGTTAGAAAACCAAAACGATGCCAAAAAAAAAAAAAAAAAAAATTGAGCGCAATAATTAAAGAGAAAAATCTCTGAAACATTACAGTCATCTGGAGTTTCGATAGGCTTCAGTGAGGCAAAGGATCAAGTCTCTGAACCTTCATGAATATTCTTGAACTCAAGTGGCGAACCAGTGCAGTTACATTCCTTTACAATTCAAACTCTACGACAAACCATCCGTTTGTGCGAATGCTGCTCCAAATAACTGACCTTATTTCTATTCTTTGAACAGGATGGCGGTGTTTACAGCACTTTGGGGCGAGGGAGAGTAACAGTATGTCATAAATAAATACATCACTTTGTCTCTGGATGAGACAGAAATGCTGTTGGTAAGCACACTTTTGATTATTCTGTAGTCACACGAACACGGTACGTTCTAGTTTTTTGGATACAGCTTTATGACGTTTTTTTTTTTTTTTTTTGATGCCCTTATGACATTAGATGCAGTATGCACAGTAAATACACTTCTCTTTTCTTCTCTCAGATCTACTTTACATGCAGCCACAGACTTATTTTTTTTTTTTTTACCAAATGGATTTGATCACCAGATAATGTGAAATGCAACAAGGACAACCGCTTTGTTTAAGTGCAAAACATTCAAGGGTTTCATTTATTTACTGCGAATGGTAAAAATGTCAGAAATGGAGTGTGGAGGGGATGTGTGTGTGCAAGCGTGTTTGTGAGGCACTGGAGATTATTTATGCTGTTTCAGGCTGTGCTTCTAATAATCTGACAAGCATGGCTGATCTTAGCTAACAACCGTAAATCTTGGAAGTCTTCTCATGCTCAAAAAAGTGCATATTACTAAGATATTTCCCAGCAGGCTGAGAAAATGCTTTTAGGTGAGGGAACATTGTGTAGGCACATCAAGCTCACTGACTGTTGAATCAAAGCACAAATTACATTTTGATGTTTATCGGAGACAAAAAGAACAATGACAAAAAAAAAAAAAAAAAAAACTCCCATCAGGGATACGGGGTGGGCGGGAGATAAAAGTCTGACTGGAGTTTATTTTCAGGAACATAAACACGAGGCTATAAACCCGAGTTCTGCAGGTTTGGGATGGGGTAGAATTTGGACACCCGGCTTTGGGTGGTGGGGTTAAGGCATTCGGATTCCCCGCTCATCTTGAAGAAAACTTCTTGCTCCTGGAGCTTCCGCGTGAATTCCTCCTCTAGCGCCTGCAGGGAAGCAGCGACAAGCAGCCTTAAAATGCTAATTCTGCTGAAAGAAAATCCGCTGTGAGCAACTTTATGACCGAAGAGTGTACCTTCTTCCTCGGTCTGAGCTTCTCTCTCCAGTCTTTTATCTCCTGGCTGTGCTCTTCGTCCAGCTCCTTCAGCTTTTGGGTCTCGTGTTCAATAAGCAGGTGGCATTTCTCATTCTGAAAACGAGGTCAGAGAACGATGTTATCAACATGAATCAATACTGAACTCTTTTTTTTTTATGCATTCACATCCAAACAACACTCTGCTCTGCTTTTAATCTGCTGCATGTGCTATTCTCTGTGTCATTTGCATAGAGAGTACATTTTTCTATTTGTCTGCAGTAATAGTAATATATTCATTTTAATGTAAAGATTTTAAAAAAATCATCTAAAAAAAACATCTTTAGTCTAGTAAAACTTTTTTATCTATTTTTCAAAGCATGCTTAATGTAATGCTACGTTTTGATGCCTGTTTATTTTCCCTGTTCAAATGCAGCACAAAAGATACAGGAACCGAAGAAAACATCTTGATTCTGGATTCTAATTCAAACAGTTTGGAAAAAGCTCTTAAACATAGATTTTTCAAACCAATGTATCAACAAAACTTGAAATAGAAATGTAGAATAAAAACGTGTGGTGAGAAACCACACAAGTCTCTAAGGGGTCTGAAAATGCAAATTTAAAGATTTAAAACAGTATGAAACAGCTAAAGCCCAAAGGTGCTGGTTAACACAAGTTCTCCAGCAGGGGGCACTGCAGCAGAGAACGGCACCTAATAGCCTTTGACCCAGTTTTCATGAACACATCCTCAACTAGACAGTGCATTTTTCCGTACATGTTATATCATTGAGGGGGGAAACAAACAGTTCACTTCCAATAAGTATTGCTGCAACCAATTGAGAGGGCAGACGTTTTTATTTGCTTCAGAGTGAACCGTGGTGAGCGTCAGCGTGTCAGTGTGACCTGCAGCTGCTGCAGCTCGCGGATGTTGGAGTCGCACTGCAGCTGCAGATCCCTCATCTGGTTCTCGTGTTTCTGGTGCTGATTGAGTCTCTCGTTCTTCTGCCTCTTCTCCTCCTGCGCAGCAAACTAGACGGAGAGCAGAAGAATCGAGCGGCTTTATTTAAAACAAATATTTGTTAAAAACGAGAACAAATGAGGAGGTGAGCTACTGCGGAGACAAAAATAAAATAAATAAAAAGAGGGGAAAACCAAGACACTTCTCCTTGGGTGAAAGACGGGAGTGTGACCCTGCACCTGCTTTATGCGTTCCCTCTCTTGGTCAGGCGTCATGGCCGCGGCGACGGTGATGCGGAGGCTCTTCTTGAACATGGCCATGCGAGTCTTTGCATCGCTGCGTTGGATTTTGGGCAGGCGAACCCTCTCTTGATTCTGTTTGTTCTTCAGCTCCTCTATCAGCCGCTGGTTGTAGCGCTGCATCTGCTCCATTTCCTGCCACGCGCAAACGCAAACGTTTAACATCTCAAGTGCGTTCAATGAAAACCTGCGTCTGCTTCTCCAATCTCTTACTTTTTCATGCCGCTTCAGCAGCTGATGTCTCTGCATGAAGTACTGGTCTTTCAGCTGCTGCTTGAGCAGCTGGTGCTTCTCCTGCAGGTGGCGCTCCTCCAGCTCCCACATTGCTGCCTCTCGTGCTGCGGAACACACCAGAACATGAAGGGAGGGCTGCGGATGTGTTCTGGTTAGCAGACATGCTGGGCAGTTATGTATTCAGGAGGAAAGCTAACGCAAATTGGAGCGCCTGTAGCATGTCTGGTTGATTCTCACCTTCTTTGTTTATGCCATCCTGATCTCTGGATCAAAGAAATGCATTATTGTTTTTTTTTCATTAAAGTTTTTTTTTTAATACTACATAGTTTTCATAGAAATTGAATTTTAGATTCATGGCTCTGGGATCCGAAAAATTAACTGTAAAGTTGATTGTGGAACAAAGCCACACATCACATCTCTTCAGTGGAAGTACTGAAACTTTCCAAGGATTTTCTTTTTGCTGTTCGTCGAGTCCCAAACAGACACAATTGCTTTTCTTGTTGCAAGCTGTAAACTGCAATCAAGTGTAGCATAAATGAAAAATGTGTCCGAAAAGAGAAACAAAGTATAATGGAAGAAGAAGACAGTGAAGGCGTTCTGAAAGACCTAGGAGAAAAACTTCGTTTCTCGGCTCTCCTCGGCTTCCTTACCTCTCAGCAGCTGCTGTTTGTGGTTGAGGCAGTCTCTCTCGATGGTGGCTATTTCTAGTTTGTGCTGCTGGATGATTTTCTTCAGCGCGCCGTCCAGCTCCTGCTGCTGCTTCTGCAGGAACTCCTGCTCCTGAGGAGAAGAGCAGCCGCGGTGAGGAGCGGCCAGGCGATTCCACAAAGAGGGACAGCAAGGAGCCAGGAACATCGAAATGCAATGAAATGTCACACTACACATACAGGTCCAAGCTTCATCAAATCTAATCATAGAACATCCACTTCAAACTCAGGCCAACATCGTCAGCGGGGCCGAAGAGAGGAGACGGACTTCATGGACGGGGAAAACAAAAAGAGGCTCAGAGGAAAACACCTGCACTGACCCTTCACTGACCCCTGCACTGACCCCTGCACTGACCCTTCACTGAGGCTGATTTCATCAGGTGACAAACAGCAGGAGAAAACAACGGATTTCAACTGTTGAAAAATTTGCTATTTCCAATCTGCAGCATGAAAATGAGCAGTTTTCTAGTTTTATTGCCTACTTATGGGACCGTGTGATAAACTTTATTGTAAAGATGAGCATTTAACCAAGACTGACATAATCACTCTAACAAGACACTGAGTAGTTATGAGCTTTTGAGTGTGGAAGGAAATCAGCGGGGAGCCGTAAATGAAACTAAAAATGTTAAGATTTTCTAACGTAGTGTGAACAAACACTATGTGAAAGCTAACAGGTGGGAACAATCTTTTTTTCTGGAAGCTGATCGTAAGGAAGGAAGATTAAACTAACCTCAGTGCTAGAAAAAATAAAGTCAAAGGAAGGAAGCACAACAGCAAATCAGAGGCAAAATATCAAATTGGACACTAAAAATTGTGACGTTCTGACATGTGCAAAAAATAAATCCAAAGTAACTGAAAAACTCATTGGAGTTCAGTTGTAGATATTTGTTGTCAAATCATTTGGTATTTCCACGTATCTTTATTACCAGAAACATTTGATTGTTCAAACTGTTGATTTTTAAATGGAGCCAGACAAAATGATTCTTGAGGAGAAATTATCTAAATTAAAATCTGAGTTTGCAGATGAAGATTAGATTATAAAAACAAAATCGGTAATCAGAAAGAAAACCTGATTGCTGCAACTGTACTTTTGAATTCTTTCACTCTGCTTCACCACAACACTATTTGCTCTGAAAGACAACCTATTGGCACATGGTAACCTTATTACACTGCTTTAAATTACTGAAGAAAAGACTCTCAGGCTCCATTTACGCAGCTTCAGTATAACTGCTCCTCAGACACAAATATATACTCAGCCAGAACATATCAAAACCTGCATTACCAACATATTAAGACAAACACCATCCAGTTTTATGCACACGAAATTAATGCCATGTACTTTACACAAACCAGATGTGGAACATTTGTGAACTGGTGAAGGAAAAATACTGAGCAGGAGAGGAAGAAAGACCACTGCACAAATACAGTGATGGCAACACAAAAAAAAAAAAAAAAAAATTACATCAAAGCACTACAAGCCCAACGCCGCCCATGCTTACATGTGTAGTTCTCAAAGTACAAGTGAAACAGGATAAGCGATCCTGTCACTGAACTTCGCACACATCTAAGTATGGGCCAGAGACCGAGAGAAAGCAGGGTGGGTGGGTGGAGGAGGTGGGGGCACTTACATCCTGCATCTGAGCGTTGAAGAGTGCGCATGAGGATAACTGAAAAGACTGTATCATAACCTGGGCCACTGCCTGCGGAGGAGAGCACACAGCGCACTCGCCTTGATCACACGGACAGACGGCACACACAGCAGGCTGAGGAGTTTTCTCTTTCTCTCTCACTCACACACACTCACACACACACACACACACACACACACGCACGCATACACACTCGCGCCAGTTCTTCCAGAGTTATGTAAGACGTGGGTCTTCCGCTTTGGGGATGTCAGTCAGCTTAATGCGTGGGGAACTGCTCCGGTAAATGTTAGGAGGAAGCCAATTAATTAGTTATTAAAGCACTTCTCATAATGGCATGCTTTAAAGTGGATAATAAATTCAGCATCTTATGTGAATCCGGCATGCAAAGGAGCAGCTTTTGAACGCCGCCGGCTAATCGAGCATCATAACTGGGAGTTTGCTTTGAAAGGTAATGTTTGAAACGGCTTTCAGTTCAGACGTTTCCCTCTAGAAACTCTTCAATTATCTATCAAGTAAGACCTAAATGACCTCCTCTTCTAACCGTAGTTTTGTGTGAAATGGCAGAAGCAGAGCAAAAGGGGTTACTTCTTGACTATTTTTTAATAGAACATTTTGTGAAAATGGCAATTTAGTATTGCCATTTTCACAAAATTTCAAAGGCCAAAGCAAATTACAATGACACAAAAACCAAAATAAACATCAAATGCACTTAAAGCTGTGAATGGTAAGGAGTCATGTTCATACTTTATAGTGCATTTTAATGGACTAAATATAAAGATGAATGATTTTCCTTTTGATTTACATAAATAACAGCAGAAAATCCGGAACAACATCGCATTACTAAACAGCCTGTGAAGTCCTGGAAACATGTTTCCACATTAAGCTTAATAAATGCATGGGCATTATTAAACTAATTCAGTACTCAGGAGAGGAAGCTCAAAAACTATTCAGATATAAAATGACTGCACAATTTTTTATGTTACAATAACCACTGAATTGGATGAAATCTGCTTATCGTTCACCTCCTCTGAGTTACACTAGATAAAAGGAACATTTAATGCTAAAAGAGTTAGAACTCTAGAAATGGTTGAATGTACAGAGTGAGTCACATTGGTTGGCACCCTTGCTAAAGATGTGAAAAACAACGAGAATCCCTCTTTTTATTTAAGCTGAGAATTTTTATTTAGGAGGCAAAATGTTTTTAATATATTGAACCACAACTGAAAATCATTGGGACTCCTGCAGTCAAACTTTGTGAAAGCCTTTGCTGCTTACAGGTCAGCCCTTAAACTCCACTTTTTGTTTAATCATCCATATATATATTGTGGAACATTAATCGCTGTGTGGCAGAGAAATAAATGTGGAACTTCTTCCAGCCTGGTGATCCCTGATGGTTTGATGTCAAAATTTACATCCCCAATAAGCAAACTTTCACGAACTCGGAAAGTTTTACTTAACGTAAAAAATAAAAATATGCTTCAGTTACTTTTAAATGCTTAAGAGTGAGTTTATACCCCTGCAAGTAAGTCATTGTTTCTTTTAAGGCTTTTCATACATCTTCGCTAGGTGGTGCCAAGAAATGTGGCCAGCACTTAATTAAGAATCCAATTAAAACTTAAAAAAAGCTAACAGGAAACAGGAAATACAGATCTATATTGCTTAAGGCAGAAGAATAAAAACAGAGACAGCGATGATTTACCTCTGCGGTCTGGAGGAGTGCCAGGTCCTCTTTTAAGCGTTTCATGAGCTCTTTTCTCATGTGTTTGGGTGACTGTCCGACCTCCTGAACGGCCTACAGCAGAAACTAGTTGATGCCGTATTGTTCTTAAAATCTGACAAAGCTGCCCAACAACCATGAGAAGACATGCACGGCCCCCTCTTTGACAGAAGAGCTACAGAATCCAGCCACCGACAGATTTATCGCCATCATGCTAATTTCTCCCCTCCGCCTTATCCTTTTTGACGTTTATTAAACCATTTCTGAAAATTTAAGACTGAACTGCAATATGTAAATTGTAAAGAGTTCAACTGATGCATGCCAGAAGGTGTTAGTCCCAGAAAAGCTTCGTTACGTTTGTGTTTGATTAACTCCACCACAGCCACAGGTTTGAATGTCCTGATCAACGAGATTAAAGGACCAGAGTAACTGACATGGAGTAGAGATTATTTAGCTTCAAAACAAGTTTTTTTTTTTTTTTTTAAACTCAATACAAGCTGTGCTAACTTCATGCAAAAATGCATGAACCGTGTATCATTAAAGTGCACATTCACCTTTTAAAATGCTGAAACATCCATCTTTATATAGTATAAATCTTGTTGATTACAACTAGAAAAACAAATGTCTTTAAGGGGAAGTTTACACATCCTTAAAATAAAACGTTGATTCAACGATGCAAGTTATTGCTTGTTTTAGCAGTTTGGATACTTGACATAAATATTCTGCTCATTTAAATCCATCCAACTCTAGTGGTTAAATGTCTGCCTTCATGTTTTAGAGTTTGTTGTGTATAACAATACATATAGGGCTCTTTAAATTAAGTTGGATTGATTGAATCCAAACAAAAAATGTATGACTTTTCCCAACTGAGCAGTTTAAAATATTGAAAAACTTATGAATTATTGTCACAATGTCATTTTAACAGGCGTGTGTGCACTTTGTATATCAACTGTATTCAACTCATTTCTATCACCAAACATGTATAAACACAATTTCTGCTGACATATGACTAAGAATTTGTTGAAACATGTTAATAGGCTATCGTAGATTTTATTGGATTCCATATCAGTTACTCTGATGCAAGGCAAGGATTACTTAACCCGAAGACACCCAGCTCCTTTATAGATATAACAACATTGATCATCCCATAACCAGTACAAACTCACACATTCATAGAACAAGCATGGTTAGTTCAATATACAGTTAGATTACATGTCTAAATAACAAAAACATTTCAAAAACAAAACTACAAACATATTAAAGATGCAGTTGAGATATTTTATGTTAAAATTGAAAAAAGAAAATGAAGGGGAAGCAGCAAAACAGTAGACAATCAACTTAACTGCACTAAGACAAAGAAAAAGCAGCAAATGTTCAGAACATTTAAAGCACTCTGCAAAGCAAGCAGAGCCTGCTGAAGAGTCAAGGACAGGAGATATGCCACATGTTAGCAAGACTGAACTCCATTAAAAGGTTTTTAAAAGACAAACACTCCTGAGGATTCAGTTCTCAGGAGGAAACCAGAGTAGAGAAGCAGCAGAAACCGTAGACAGATTAAGACCGATATGAAAAAATGGATGAAGGAGCATTTAGGGGAAAAGCTAGAGCTGGTCTGTAGCGATCATCAGCACACCACACCAACAGAGCAGCTGGCCACAGCACTCCCACAGGATCAGCGCAACAAAACAAACTGAGCCGCTAAGCTAATTGTTCAAAGAGAAACACTACAAAGCTCCGCGTGACATGCAGATGCCAGAAATGAGCCGAAGCCTGGCACAAACCGCAGTGCAGGTCCGTACCTCCTTTTTCCTGTTCTTCAGCATGTTCTGGAACTTGGACAGCTCTTTGTCCTGGTCCGCTTTGATGCGCTTAGCTTCGTCTCGAAGCCGGCTGGTGTGATCTTGTTCCAGTCGCTCGATCGTCTGCTTCTGCTTCTTCTCAAGGTTCTCCACCTCTTGGTCATACTGACGTTTCTTTGCCTGTCAAACAAAACAGAAAGAGGTGACCGTAGACATTTCTATAAAGACATTTTTAAAAAACCAGTACAAAAGCCTTTGATAACTTGCTGACTAATGAATGAACACGGACATCTTCAAAGTTTTCTCATCCTAGATGCCACAGTCACCAGTCATATCAACACTCATTTCTCAGGGGTTTGCCAAAAAGAGAAGGAAATCCAAAAAAACTGAAGGGAAAAGAAATATTACACCACTTGTGGTTGAAACAAAGTGACTCACAGTAGTTTCCTGTTCAAAGCGCCGGTAGATTTGTTCTCTCTGCTGCTGCAGCTTGTTGCTCAGCTCCTGCTGGGCCCTTTGCTCCTCTTTCTGAAGGAGGCGAAGCTCTCTCAGCTCCTGCCGCCTGAAGAAGCCGCACAAAATGACTTATCAGATCAACACAACAGCGAACGTAAAACAAACTGCTTGATTTACGAATTGAATATGTATATCTAAAAGACTGTTCTCCATGCTTTTATTTTTTGAGTAGTTTTCAGTTTATGATCTGATCATCGGAATGGGAGAAAAATCAATGTGATCAAATTTTCTGTTTTGGAAAATGCAGATTTTTTTTTTTTAAACCAACACACTCCTTTGCTTTCCATAATTCAGAGTGATGTGATGCTACCCAAGAACTACCATCATGTTTAACCAGCGTGTTTTTAATTGTTTTGACTTTGAATTCAGATCAACTCACAAAAGAATGAGCGAAATGAAAGTAAGTTTTTTAAATATGTTTTCTGCCATTTGTAGTACTTGTTATACTAGTACTTTGTTTTGCTTTATCTTATAAAAAAACCCCTGAAATAATACTTTTGATTTTGTTATGTGACAAAATGTTAAACTTTTACAAAAAAAGATGCTAAACACTCAAATATTGTACAAAGTGTTTTATCTTTAAAATGCAAAATTAGAGATGAATGGACCATAAAGCAGCATGAATCATGGCAGATAAGCCATCTGGCATTTGTAAAACGTTGCAAGAGTTACCAAATGAATGAGAGCTATTTAAGGCAGGCAGGGACGTTAGACGGGTCACGTCCTAATTTTAGACTGAACAGTGTATGGAGTGGATCGGACACGGCCGTACCTCAGGAATCTCATCTCCTCACTTTTGGCATCATTATCCGTCACTATCTTTGATGTTGTCACGCTGACCTCCACACCATCTACCATGAACTTCCTGGTCTTCTTCAGAGTCTTTTTCTGACGTTTTGACTCCTACCAAAATAATTCAGGTAGATTTACATCAAGGCAAATAGTGAGTTGGCAACAGGGGCTGTGGAGCATTTAGCTTTACCTGCATAGATATAGATCCTCCTTCTTTGCTCTTGGACAGGAAGCTGGAGATGGACAGATTAAGGTCGAGGCTGTTGCTATCGGCAGCAGAGCTGCTCCCTGAGTCAGAGTCCTTCTCCACGTCTGACTTGGCCACAGCAGGGCTTCCGTGCTCCATCCTGCTTTCTGAGTCGGTTTCACTCTCCTGGACAGAGACGCCGTCTTGTGAGGTGACCTCATCTGCCTGAGTACCCTTTTCTCCATCTTCCTTAACTGAGACGTCCTGAGAGATAACTCCATGTTCAGAAACTTTGACGTCACCGCTGATTTGATTAGATTCACTTGGTGCTCGTTCCTCGAGTTCTTCCTCCACTTTCCTCTCATTTGTTTGTTTTGGCGGCTCGGACTCTTTGGGGACTTCGTCGTTTGTCTCCTCTGACTGATTTTCTGTGCTTCTGTTTTCTAAAACAGCCTCAGTGGAAGTCTCCTCTACACTAGACTTGCTGTCTATGTCTCCATTTATTTTTGTGTCTATTAAATTTGACTGTGAATTATAAGTATCAACATTTTCAATGGTCTCATCGGTGATGTTTTTGATTCGGTCTTCTGTCACTTTCATGTGTTTGGTGATCTCCTCCTTTAAATCTGTGCTTTCTTCCTCAACCACAGCTACTTCATTTGCTGTTGTACCTTCAGGATTTTCTTGTGATTCAACTGAATCTGCAGCACTGTCTTCACGTGCCTGCTGTTTGTCTTCATCTGGCTTCATTTTGTCTTGGGTAATATCCTCCTCCATGCCCATTTTCTCTGATGTCTCCTTCGGTTCCTCAGCTTCTTCAACTTCTGAGGGAGGTTTCTGGGAATCCACAGCTTCATCTGACTTCGACACTGCCGCCTCACCAGAGATCTCTTCAGTTTGATCAACATCCACTTGAACCTTTGCAGAATCCTGTGAAGTCAGGTCTTTGCTCGTCTCGGTTGGTGCAGGGGTCAGATCCTCGTTGCTGGCAGAAACTTCATCGAGCTTCTCGTCCTCCATTTTGTCCACTTCGCTTGTTCCGAGTCCTTCGTCCGAGAGCTTATCGCTGCTCCGGTCTTCCACGGGCTCAGCTTCAATTTTTTCTGTAACAGATTCCAGGTTGGAGGGAGTAGGTGGGACTTTGTCTTCCTCTGAACTGGCCATGCTGACATCTGATGGTGCTCTTTTGTGCCCAGGAACTGCCTGATGGGTAGGAAAACAAACATCCTTAATATGGTTGTGATTTATTTTTAAACTAATAAAATAACCAAATAAAATAATTTTACATTTGCTAATATTGAAGAAAATAATTTTAAAATAATAATTGTTGTTCAAACTACATTTCATTGAAAGTGAAAAGATCAGATTTTTACTACATTAAACCACAAAAGTCAAAATTATTCAAACCAAATTCCTGCTTTCCAGCCTGCATATCCTTCCTGTTCAACCCCAACTAAAAGAGTTTTCCTCATTTTTGCTTCATTTTTCTTCTACTGCAGCTTATGTTTTCAATTCATGTTCTCTTGCAAATTATGAACATTTTTAGTGAACATTCTGCTAACAAACAACATAACCCACCGCAGGAGTATCAGGTTCCTCCTCCTCTTCCTCTTCTTTGCTGTCTTCAATCTCTTCTGTGACCTCTGCTTTGGCTTCAGCTATGAGCTCTCTAAGAGGTCTGCTGTCAGTCACGCTGGTCACAAAGGGATGCTAGATGCCCAAAAGGTGAGGAAAAAAAAAAAAAGAACGTCAACACAAAAATGGACCCTTTTCTGTATGATGCCAACTTTACATCAGAGATGTGAGAAGAACGCTGAACAGGAAGCCAACCTGCAGTAGCTGTGTTGAATTCCACCTATTGTCCACATTTTTGTCCAGCGCTCTTCGCAGGAAGTCATTGAATTCTGGTGACCTGTTAAATATTTGAAGTATTAAATTCCTTGCTATTAAAACACCAAAGTTGCAGCTTTCCAAAATACATTTCGCACATAAAAGGAAATACATAGGATATCCTGTGAATTTGTAAACATCCCAGTGCCACCTCTTCTTTTAATCAAGACTAAACAATCTCACCAGCGAGAGGGGTGCATCAGAGTGGGCGGTTCAGACTTGGCTATTTTCAGCAGCACCCTCATGGGATTCATCTCGTGGTTGGGCGGCTCGATCTGTGCCAGCTCTATGAGGGTCACTCCCAGGGACCAGATATCGGCCTTGTAGTCATACGGACGATCTTTGGAAGTTTCACACATCACAACCTCCGGAGCCATCCTGAAAAAAATTCAGCCAATCACTAATTTTAGGTTTTACTCAATTGATTAGGGGATAGAAAGTGATTTAAATGTTGCATGTGTGTATTTAGTAGGGAGGTGGAAAGACAGGAAGGCTAAACGATAAAGTAAAGAATGTCCAAAATATAAGTGCCTCTAAATTGATGAAAAAAGCCTTTTTCTGTAACTTCACATGCGGGAGAAGAGAGAATAATCAAAAGTAAAGAAAGGAGTGCCTCCCTATATTAGGAAGCATGACTCACCAATATGGAGTGCCGATGAAAGAATCTCTTCTCTGTAATGTGTTGGTATTTTTAGCCGACACACCGAAATCAGCTGAAAGTAGAAATCAACAAGTGTTTTCTCAATTCAATTCAAATTTGACTAAACAAACCTCAAGCAAACAGTGAAACTTAAATCTGAATCTCCTTAATGCAAACATGCTTTGCAAAAACCTCCTGATGTCATAAACTATCAGCTAGTCTTTTTCTCACACTGGACCATTAAGTCCTGGTGACCAGTTTGATAATTATTGTTTGCCAGGCTAACATTTTGACCCTCTGCCTACAGAACATGAATCATCAGGGAAAAAGCAGCTATGTGCGCTACAGCAGCTACATGAATACTTTACTGGTGGAAAATTATGTAACTGATTTGATGCATCACCAGCTGCAGAAGATCTGTGATTTATAAACAATACATGAGAAGTGAATCGCTTGGTTTTCTTTGTTACCTATTAAATGCACAGGAAATGAATCCATGTGATAAGCATTCACTTAAATGTATTTTATTGGGATTTTATTTTATGTGATAATGACAAAATAAGTAATTTTGAAGCTTAAGAAAAATTATTCATGGCATTCAATAGTTAAAAAAGAAAACGTCTAAAAATAGTGTTTGTTTGAATCCAACCAGCTTTGCACAGAAACCTAAAGTTCTGCTCAGTCTTATTTCTTGCGGTTCAGTCTGAGTGGATGAAGATAATTTTTATCACAATAATATTCAAGTTGTGACAGATTTTCAATTAGATTTAAGTCTGGAGTTGGACATTTTAACACATAAACTAATCTAAACCATTTGTGTGTTAATTAGAATGTAGGCTGAACATCCTTTCAGCATAATGCTGCCATCACCATGTTTCACCATGTGAAGGATGATTTCAGGCTTATTGTGCAGAGCTAATTTTTACTCATCTCATTCTGCATATAACACAAATCTTCATCTGTAAAATCTTTAAGAACAATAGTTTTTGTCCTTTTATTTTACAACTGTGCACTTCTCCCTGTCAGCCTACCACATAAAATCCCCCCGAAATGCATTGAAGTTTGTAGCTGCAACGTGACAAAATGCAAAAAGGATCAAAGGATGTGAATACTTTTTGCAAGCCTGTCCATTAGTCCAGCATCTGCACTTCAACTCATTTACCAAAACAAGCTGCAAAGTCTTTTACCGAGTTTTACTTCTCCATCCAGGGAGAGGAGGATGTTTCCAGCTTTCAGGTCTCTGTGGATGACCTTGTTCTCATGAAGGTACGTCAACGCCTCCAGTGTCTGCTTACACACCACCCGGATCTGGGGCTCAGTCAGGGGTCTCTCAAGTTCTGATGATCAACAACACGCACACTCAGTAAACCGACACTAGGCCATTTGCACAGATTCACATCAAATTTAACTTCTTGATGGTATCCCATGGCAGACGGGGGACATCCTGTATGCATGACTAGATGCATCCAAGTCAAACCACAGACTATAATGGATGTACATTGGACAATTAAGTAAGTCAAAGTTCGGCTTTGTCATTAAAAGCAAAGCGTTTCAAAACAAGACAGAATTTAGGAGCCACAGAGCTGGAACGGCTATGAAACCTGAGCTACAATAATAACAGTGAGGGGAGAGAGAAAATTCCCACTGTGCAATAAAGAGTTGGCAGTTCCCACTTCGGAATGTTTGAAAAAATAAAAATAAAAATAAATCCCGTTGAACACTTTGTCCTACTTTGTTCAGCAGATGAGGGTCTTACCCAGCATGATGGCATCGACCGCACCGCCAGCACAGAACTCAATCAGAATCTGAAAAAAAAGGAAAACCATCAGAAACAAGGTAATATAATACAAGGAGGCATTCAACTCCCAGGACCTTTATTGATTAGACACTGATGACATTCCAGGGGCCTAATCAATCAGGTGCTCTCAGATCACCATAAGCTCCTAATCTAGACATATTTTTTGTTTCTTTTTTTATCTGAGTTAAATGTGTCGCTTCAATTATTGCTGCTTCAACACATTCTGGGATTATTGTAACACTTTTCTGTTGCAATAATCTAACACACTGTTTAGAAACTAAAACCTCACATTTACCCCAAATGATTGATTGAGGTGCTGGAGTTACGTGTCTTGCATTATTTTAATGCAAAATAGTAATGCATATATTGCATAAATAATGCATTATTTTTGCATTTTGTTTTACATTTTTACAAAGTAAAAATACTTTGTAATAAATAAATGACGTTATTTAATAGTTTGGATCATCAGCAAATTTGTAATAAATTGTACGAAAAAAGTTTAGATAGTTAAATAGGATTTCACATCTGTTTCTAATTAGACCTAAATCTAATTAGAAGCAGATTTTTTATAAGACGTCACATTTGAAAACAAATTTGTTCTCAGACACATATGAAGGTATAACAAATGTGGCTGAGATAGAAAGCCTAAGATATCTGACCTGTCGACTGTCATGTTTCACTTTATGCAAGCCAGGTCAAGAGATTTGACCTTAAAGTTTAGAGAAGATTGTTGTTTTGCTCAAACAAGGAAAATGATTTTTTTTTTAAAAGGCCCTGAATGTTGCGACTGATGCAGCTGAAAGCAGAGAGTTCAGTTTATTGCTAAAGTAACATCAGCTACAGAGCTGTCAATAATGGCTACCAGAGTCCTGAGAAGGTTGGTGTTCAAAAATCCCTCACTGGCTTTTAAAACACCTGCAGTAAGACTTGGTGCCAGCAGCCACCGACGTGCCAGTTTCCACAGCGAGGCCTATGCAAAACTCTCAATGGCTCCTGGACTGTCACTTTAAGACATACGCCAACATTGAGCCAGAAGCACAAGAAAAGTCAACTGTTGCAATAATCTAACACACAGTTATCTAAATAAACCAAGGAGGCTTCAGGATTTTGTTCTGTAGATTTGAAATTGGATCTATTCAGCCTCGTGGATCAATAGACCACCAAGGAAAGACACCAGGGTGGCCATCATAGATGCATGATTAGAAATCTCAAATTGAAAAGACAGCTGGAGCACAGAAACATGAATTATATTTGCAGCTTGTTGTCATAGCAAAAGATGCAATAGTCGTTTAAACAGCTTATTAGACATGCCGAATTATTTGAATTGTTCTTGTTTGATTTGTTGAATAATAATAAAACTGCAGGTTTTCATTTACTCTTTGAGGGTACAAAAAGAAGAGACGGCTTTACACCTTCAATCAGGGCTAATTTGATTAACTTGGCTCCCACTTCGTTCAACTCCATTAAGCTTTGCTTCAATACTTAGAAGCTTTTTTGCACCAGATGGTTAGTAAAAAGAAAAAAAGAAAAACAAATAAATAAATAACTGAAATTGAACTTTGGACTCCATTTGTGAATTCAAACGATGAGAAGAAAATGGTTAGACCAGTTTTGCACTAGTGCGAGCAACATCCATCATGCCATGGAGATTTCACTTTCACTTCGTTACTATATGCACAACTTAAAATCCGCCAACTTAAATCCCACAGCCGAACAGGGGAATAAATCTTACATTAACTGAACAGCCCAGACAAAGCAGAGGCAGTTAGGAATTAATCATGCTGCTTAAGAGACAGGCTCCAGAGACATGACCTGCATGCATCTCTGAATTATTCACAGGCACTTTCTCCAGCCACCAAAACCATTCCATTATTTTCCTATAGCTGTTGCTGGTCCACAAGGGGCAGTCACATGATACCACATGACAGGACGTAATTGCTCTGGGACCTCTTAGTGCTCACAGAATGAGATCTACAGCACACATTCTAACTGCACAACTCGCAAAGAAATAGCTGGATGATAATGTTGATCTTAAAGGAACGTCAGAAACTGCTTGTGTTCCTTAAATGTAAATATATTTGCATTTTCCATTTGAGGAAGCATAAAAATTTATCTTAGCTCACAAGGATAACTCTTACAGCTCTTTACATTATATATATATTTTTTTAAATGCTCCATTTAGGAGTTTCACCACAAGGAAAACAGCGCCACCATTCAGGGAACTATAAAACTCACCCAAAGTTTCCCCTCAAAGTAGAAAGCATCTAGCAGTTTGACAATGTGGTGGTGGTTGCAGGAGGCCAGAATGTCAATCTCCACCATGTAATCCTCCAATTCATCCTCCGTCTTTGTGTCAATCACCTTAGCAGCGGCAAGGGTCCCGTTCTGCTTGTTTTGAGCCTGGAAGCAAAATAAACAAAATTGTTAAAACATGAACAATACAAAAGGTTCAAACGGGAAGCGGGTTGCATTAAAGATATTAAAATATTGTAGAAACGCTTAACAATTTTAGTAATTCAATCCAAAATGATTAACCCATTTTATATGGATTCATTACAGAGAATGATATATTCTAACTAGTTAATGTTCATTATTATGTGTCAACTGCCAAAATAGATTACTGAAACGTATATATAGCCAATTCTATGTTCTGGCTTCTCTTTCATTAATTTGTGCTTTATAGTGTTGCTTGGAGGAAATCAGTTTGTAGCATTACTGAAGCCCAGGTAAAAAAAAAAAAAAAACACTTTCCATAATCCTCTCAAGGAGGCAATTATCTCTGTTAATGTGCATTTTGTTATGTCACACTTTTTCCTTCCACTTAGTTTTCCTTTAATAATTTTGGATACAATGAAGAGTAACATAAAATGTACCACCTTAGGAACAGTCTTTTTTTTATTGTGCAAGATTTTTAATCTACATTAGAAATTATACAAAATAAAACAACTCATTTTAGAGTAGAAGATGCTGGTAGCAAAAATGACCGGGCACCCATGATCACCTGGAAGCCATTTTAAAAATTACTTAAAGGCTCGTATTGGATTGAATGTTTATGGATTCAGACACAATGTCAGTGGAAAAAAAAAAACAAAAAGGGAGTGTGAACATTTACCGCTGTGACAGGCTCTATATTTACACTTTCTGACACGACATGCTCCCCGGCTCTTTCCTCTCATTCCAGCTGACGCCTGTTTGGCAGACCCTTCCTAATGCTTACGCAGAATGTGAGAAATACAAAGAACTGGGTTGCCTTGGGTCAGTGTGTACACAGCATTTTAGCCCAACTGTCTTGAGAAACCTCAGTTAACGTTTGCCAAATGAAATATCTTTTTTCTTAGTTCTGAACATAAAAACTGATTCAAATATGTAAAATGGATCACTGTGTAAGCAAAGTTTTCCTGGTAGTTTGTATTGAGCTTTAAAAGTGACACACCTCTTCAGTTTGTGACATACATGGTACTTCATGATTGCCTGAGTTAGGGACACTTGTTTTCCCTTGTGACTCATTTAAACAGCTGATTCACACTTTGCAAGCAGCCAGTCCAGCCACACCTAAAAGAGGCAACCATCAAAGGCCTGTGAAAAAACTGATGAGAATATCAATGGCTCTGATTAAGGTAGTCCCATATAGGCAAAACCGGGTCAGCTCAAGTTTGGTTTGTTGCACATTGTGTGGCTTAAGCAGCTAAACTTTGGAGCCCTTACAGCTAGATCGACCAGCTAACAAGAGTAGGAAACAAATAAAGGCAAATGAAGATTTAAATAGAACAGAGTTCAAACACAGAATTCCTCCTCAGGGCCCGACATGGAAGTGATTTCAAAGAGGTTATATTATCTGCCAAAGATGCAAGACAGAAAACATTCTCAGTCCAAAACAACCTGGTTAAGTATCCTAGTCAAGGTGACATCTCAGGTCCGGCAGAATTTGTTAGCGCTAAAAGCAGAAAATCAGCCTGTGTTTATTGTCCAAAAATAGAATAAGGCTTTATTTTATTTATATATTTCACCCATCAATCACTGATCAGAGCTGATATTTATTTATTTTTGATGCACAAACTGGAGTAGTTATGGATTTTAAGTGCTACCTGGGCAAAAAGGAGTACTTTCAGACCTATTTGTTAGGCTCTTCGAGGAGTAACATGTTAGGACGCTAACAGTTCAGGACAACTGGTCAGGCTGTTTGTTAAAGTAGCAGAGTTTGATTAACTGATCCTAATGCTTTTCTTCCTTGACCTTTGTACAAAGTCTTTACTGCTTTCCATGAGCTTTAGCATCTCAGCCTAAAGGTGGAATTTTATATATGATACTTGAAATATACTAAGTATTCCGTCCAAACATTCCTTTACGATGATGTTGCAAACACAAATTCTGCATGGATTTTTACAATTTGCTGTGTTGTGCAGCTTTTGTAGCCAATTTTCAGTGAGACATTCCAACTTTAGTTTTTTATTTTTTCGATTATCACCCTAAAAAATGTTCTCACTAAACGGCTCTATTCATGACTGAAAATATTTCCAAACAGATTCAGTTGACTTTGTCGTAAAAATGAGCAGCAACAGGTGGGTGAAGTGACATCTCTTCATTATTACACTCCACCATAGCTGGAGAAAATACCAGTACCTGACACTTTCTCTGGAGCGTCTAGGGCTAAATCTTCAAAATCCGAGCTGCACAATATATTGTATCCCATTCAACATCGGAATATCAATGGGTTTATTATCATAATTTCAAAAGATTATTCATATGAGACATACATCAGTGTGTCAGACGGCACATGTTGTTTTGGCAGCAGAACCATAGCAAAAATACCCAATGGCTGTATTACGGTAATGAAACAATACATGGACTGCAACCTATCGGTGTTATTCTTCCTATTATTTGCGTTGGACTTCAAGAAATAACTTATGAAAACAAAAATGAAGAGAGACTGAGTAAAAGGACACAGTGGTACAAGTGCTAAGGCCTGGGTAAAAACAAAACAAAAACAAAAAAAAACTGAGGTGGAAAAGAAAGTCTGCAATAATCAACAATACTGATAAACTGATGAATTAACCTTAATTGAACAACGTACAAAAAAAGGCATGAAAACTTCAGTGTTTCTGTCCCTGCCTAGCAACAGCAAATACACAGTTAAAGATCTAATTTTCAGAGACTGTCCATTTGTTTGCTGAAATAAATACAGGGCTCGCATTACAGAAAGAAATGATTCATATCTGCAACAAAGCATAACCAATTGCACAGTGAAAGCTCAATTTAAAAGGGCGTTTCATTACTTTACAAAGCAACTGTTCTGGTTGTTTGACATTTCCAAACTGTTATTAGTGGATGTCAAGTAAGCCTTAAAGGATGGCTTTCAGAGAGCATTGTTTATTCAATGGTTATGAACCAATGATTTTTGACATTGATTTAGACCAATAAACACAGAAACCTTTAACGGTTCCTCGCGTTTCTGCAACGGGGAGGCAGGTAACAGTTTAGATCTGCATCTAACTTTTGCAGAATTGATTTTTATATTATTTTTAAGCTATTGGCCTTAGCTAATCGTGAAACTATCACCCGATCAAAAGCTAAGCGGATGTCGCTGCTGTGTGACAGATCTACCCACTTGCCTCCATGCAACAACCAGAAGCCGAAGGAAGCGACTCTTTATAAATAGGGCTAAAAACTAGAAAGCGGATGTAACGTAACGCCTTAACTTACCTTATACACTTTCCCAAAAGCGCCATCTCCCAGCTCACCGATTATTTCCCAAATTTCCTCCGGATTCACGTCTCTGTGTACGTGTTCGTACTGCTTCTTCTTTTTATCCGGCCCCAGCTTGAATATCTTCCGAAAATTGAAGAAAGACATCTTGTTGTTTTTCAGACTTTGAACTGGATGCGGTCTCTTCTCTCAATCCGCCCAGCAAAACGTCCCTCCCGTCGCTGAACTCAAACGGCTGTCTGAGAAAGAGCCCGGGCGTGAAACAAACAGCGACAGGCCGGTGCTACAGCCATTCGGCTGTGATAATGTCAATTATAACTTCCCTCCACGGCAGTTATGCACAATCACATCACAGATAGAAGCCGTCACAGGACGCTAGCGGAGGAGGTGAGGGATACGGACGGAGGACCTCGTCGTTCTCGAACGGAAGCGTTTCCGTTTCATACAGACTGAAATCGGAAAAAAAAACAACAAAAATACCGACCATACCCTCACTCTCGAGATGACATGTTTACCGTTTAAAGCCAAAGAGATAAAATGGACACAACACGGACCCTCATGCTTCGGTTGGCTGACCACACTGAAGTTAGCGGACTAGCATCAAGCTAGCGTACCCACGTTTCAACACTTCCGCTGTAATTTCAAAGTAAATCTAAAATAACAAGAAAGTGGAAAATAACGTTTTAAACATACTGCAGTGAAGAACATTTATAACACAAGTGTACTTTAAATATTTAATGAACATTTATTTGCAAAGTTGTGTTCTTGTATTTTGAAACAAATAGATTGCGGGCCTTAAATTTGAAAGGTAATTTCCGCCGCAGACTGCCCTGTCACTATTTCACTAAACGGATTTGCTTGGCGGCGTCCGTTTCCTGAATCTTCTGTGCAGGAAGGTGCTCTGCCCAACCACGCATGCTAGTTGTGTTAATGTCGTCATGAACAGAGGGAAATGGTGTTTTTCGCACCACCACATTGCCAAACAATAAGATTCATCTTGTCAAGAGTATTGAACACAATGAAACACTTTAACGCAGAGGTATTTCAGAGCTTTAAGGGGAAGGTAAATGTCCCCATTTTCTCTTAAGTCTGAATGAAGTTTCAACATGCGGCATCAGACGCTCGCGTAAGCCTCCACTAGAGGGCAGCAAAATCCTTTACCAATTGCAGTTTGGTAATGCGTCCCTGAAGAACTTGATTTTGCTTACAAGAGAAAACCCATCTTGAATATCCCACTGGCAACATGGTTTTAATTTCTCACATTGATCAGCCTGTCTTTCCTGAGCATAATATTTTACTGATCTATCTCTATAAACTGATACAAACCAAATAAACTGCTGAAACCAAATGAATCCCTTCCCCTCTCAGTAGTTAGTGAGCTTTTCAGCTGTGCAGCACAATTGCAACCAACAGGATTTTCTAATAACCAATTACCCTTAGAAAATGAATATTTTGGATTAGCATTCATACCAGAGTATTGGGAGCCTTGGTGCAAAAATGTTAATTCCTCCAGAATCATCTAATGAAATGCTATTGTTTATGAAATAAATAAAATTGTAAATTGCACAACAATGTCCTTTTACTTAAAATCAAATCTATTCCCATGCCATATGCTCAGCCACTGATATGGAATACAGATTTCAGGATGATTGAGCATTTAGAGAAATAGAAAAAGAGAAACGTTTTTAATATATTAATTATTACTGCTTTATTGTCTGTTACTTTTTTATATCCAAAGGGCTTTTCAACAGAAAAAAAAACTCCTACAGTGTTCAAGCAGCAGGTGAAAAAGAAGCTATTTTCTAAGTCTTATAAATGGTTTAAAGTCATTTTCAACAGACCACCAAATCACTTGGTGAAGATGTCATTGATGTTACAAGATTGCAAAAGTCGATTAGGTTTTGTTGTTTATGGAGTTGGTATGTAAGGAACAACACATGTGTTGCGGTCTGTGGTTGTTTGAGTCTATTGTCTCATTGCCTTCTGTCATAAAACTGAGATAAAGGATAGGATTAAATATGTGTTTGCATTTCAAACATAAAACAGTGGTAAGCCAATAATTTTGTTGGTTACGTATGCATGATTTTTTTCTGTAGCACAAGTAGCACAGACGGTCAGAACACTGTTCCTATGCTACAGCAGCAACTGATCGCTGAGACAGAAATGTAAACCATGGAGGGAGGAGAGAGATGCACATTTTGTTGCTGGAAAAACTAGAACTCTAAAATACTAAGTTTTCCAGACAATAGTGGGACACGCAAAAACATGCAAAAATTACTAAAGTTAATTTTGTACTGTTGTAATCATTAAACAATCTCCCCTTCAGTTCAATCTTATAAGATACATAGCTGATGTTACCATCAATTACTTGAAATTAAGTATTGGTAAACCTCAATGTAATGTTGACAGGTGGTGGAAACATTGTCAACAGCTGCTGAAAGTAACTAAAAAGTTACTTTTAATGTAACTTAGTTACTTTCCAAATCAAGTAATCAGTAATCCTTGACTTTTCAAGGAGTAATTTGATTAAAGTTACTTTTTCAAAGCAACCATGCCATCACTGAGTTTGAACACATATCCTGCCAAATAGAAAGAATATGAATCATCAATTAAAAAAAAAAGTAATTCAATAAGTCCCTCTCAATATTCTTATGTGGAACAAATGAAAATAATGTTGGTCATTCTAACTGACCTAAAACATGACACGTTTAGTTTAATTTAACTAAAGGCGAATTTTGACCAGTTCAGTGGACCAAACCAAATAATTGTAAACATTTTTTTAGTAATAATGATACATCATTAGTAACAATGATAATGCATCAGTAACAATGATGCATTACTACTACATCATTATCACAATACTAGTGATACAGTAATAATGATACATCATTAGTAACAATGATGCGTTACTACTACATCATTATCACAATACTAGTGATACAGTAATAATGATACATCATTAGTAACAATGATGCATTACTACTACATCATTATCACAATACTAGTGATACAGTAATAATGATACACCATTAGTGACAATGATAATGTATCAGTAATAATGACGCATTACTACTGCATCATTATTACAATAATAACGATAAACCAGTGAGTAAAGCATAATGCACTGTGAATTTGACTGAATTTCAACTAAGCAGTATTGTGGAAACTAACGTTAAAAGTGAAGGAATCCCTGTTCACGTAAAGACAAAGAAGCGGCAGTCCCAGTCCCAGCCAGGCTGACCTCCTTCCTGGAGAGTCCTGTGAAGTGTGTCCAGCCAGCTGAACTGGGTCCGCCCCATGCGCTCTGACTGACTGCCCTCTTTGGCTCCGGACAGCGGCGGTCGGTGCAGCCCCTCTTTCAGGGTGGGGAAGCCTGATTACTCGCCAGTTTCATTGCGTTGGATTGTTTGACAAAGACCGCCTGACACCGTCAGTACGTGGGGGTGGGGGGCCACCCAGGATCGCGCTATTTTTTTCTTCCCTTAAGTTTCGCTCGACTATTTGCCCAAGTTAGGAGTTTTGCATCTTTCGAGCTCCTTCTTCGGGGTTTCATGGGCAAATATCTTCGCCGTTGCGGTCTGTGGTTGTTTTCCCTTTAAATAAAGGCCCGTTTGGTCTGCTGAGAAGATGCAGCTCCGCACTGTCCGTGACGTTAACGTCGTGGACGTGCAGAAGAGAAGGAACCCCTCCAAACACTATGTAAGTTGTTTTCTCCTCTCAGCTGCGTTGCGACTTCATCACTGCTGATTCTTCGCGAAGTAGACGTGATATCTTTTCCTTGGATCGTGGTGTCCCTCTGTTCATGCTGTTACTGAACTTATTTTCAGTTGACTAAACACTGGGATTTAAATGATTTTTGTCATGGGATTTAAGCGACATCTGACATTTATGTGAAAAATAGGTTTCCACATAAATACAGAAATAACATTTGACAAGTAAAAATATGCTTTAAAAAGTCTAAAAAATGTAACATGTTTAGTGAAGTTAATGGTTTCCCTTCAATCATATCCTGATGCTAATAAAAAATTACCACAATGTCAATATATATGATTAATGTTAAACCTTTGCAAACTGTCATGGGACTGAATTATTTTATAAAAAGCAAATTGAATAGCCTTGCTGATGAAAATTTGATGTATAAATAAAATTACCTTACTTTACTTAAAATTTCTTCTGAAAAATAACAGGAAGAATAAATTCCTTCTTGTGATTCACTTGAGTATGAATACAGTAATGAAGATGATATGAACATAATAATCTGACTTTGAGTGTGGACCAGATCCACAGTACAAAGACCGTTTGGAGGACCTGGTCTTTGTACATTTGCAAAAAATTGTTTTAGAGCGATTTATTTATGGAGTGAATGTGAACCAAACTTTGTTCCAACACAGAAGCTGTACAATGTGCAAGAGCGAGAAAAATGCAACACAAACCTGGCTGCTTGGTTGCCATATTGGCACATCATTTTTGTAAAGCATAACATGCTATGCAACGTTCAAAAACAATAGAAATTTTTGTTCAGTCAAAATTTTACTATAATGTATACGCATGCACCTCAGACAAGATGTGCCTCTTGTACTGATGTGTCATATTATCCTCTTGTCACACATTGTGTTTTGCAGATACTTTAATAGAGCTCTCTTTGCCTAATCTGTCAGTTTGTCTTGGTAGATTTGCAATTGTTGTTCTTAGTTTTATTTCTCCAGTTCATGAGATTGAACTGTGGTCCATCAAATATTGGAAGCTTGGAATATTGTTTTATAACCTAACCCTGCTTTAAACCTGTTAAGAAAGTTATTCTTGACCTTATGTGGCATATTTCTTGATCATCATGATGTTGTTAGTTCAATGACTAATTCTTGAGACCTGACAGCTGCGTTAAAACTAATATCAAATAATTCACAGGCACACTTTATTCATTAACTCATGTGACTTTAGAAGGCATTTGGTTATGGTAGTAAAGAACATTTAATATCTTTCATTCGATTACAAAAAAAAATGTAAATACCAAATTAAATTTCCAAGAAACATTCATTATCTTCACAAATGTAACACATAGAAAAACAGGTTCCATGAGAATTAACAGGTAACGTTGCTTTTACAGTTAGACTATGAGTTACATTGAGTAATTATTGCAACATTCCAACAGGAGGGAAAGAGGTAAAACAATAATAAAACAATGATAGAATTTCAGAAACAACAATGATTAGCAGTTTTATTAAGTTACATATTAATACGTTTAAAATAAACCCCTGCAACATAGCTCACAGATTATCATGCTGTGTTCACTTGCAGTCAGAAATCTGAGGCTCATTTAAACACTAGTTCACATAGCATATGTTTAGATTTCACAGTGTTGTTGTTTTTTACTGTGTGTTTTCCTGTAATTAACTAATCAAATCTAGAATAAAAGCATTAAAATCTCTAACCCTACAAGTGATATGGTATAGCCTGATAAATAAGTTGATTAGTATTGGTAGCCAGTTTACTTACTAAATAACATCTACAAGTACCTAGTTTTTTCACTATGGTCAAAAATAACAAGCTATACTATCTGCATAACTAACGAATTACTTAAATCTTTTTTTGACCCATGTCTT